GGGGTGCCAGTTTCGGAACTATTGGCTGAAGCTGGACTGGAAGTGTTCGGTTTCGATATCGCACCCAAGATGATTAAACTTGCTCAAAAGAGAGTCAAGGGTACCTTTTCCGTGTCGGACATGGTGCAATTTCAGGTTGAAGATACGTTTTCGGGCGTATTTATGATATTTGCTCATCTGCAACTTTCGTATGCAGACGTTCATGCGGCGGTCTACAAATACGTTCTTGCATTGAAGCCAGGGGGGATATTTGTTCTCGGTCAGATGCCGAGTGATTCGTATGTTAAGGATGAAGGCAACGCAGCTTATGATGAAACGAGAACGTATGTGGAGGATTATGATGCGCCGTTTATGGGAGAACTACTCCCGACTTTTATGATGAGCGAGCAAGGACAGAGGAACTTTTTGACAAGTATGGGATTGGAAATCGTGAGTGAGACGATTGATCGATTTCAACCGGATAATGTGAAATGTGAGCCGGAAATGCAGCAATATATCATTGCGAGAAGACCTGTGGATGGGAAGATTGTGGAGCCACAGCCGCTTCCAAAGAACGAGTAGCCATTTTTTGCGACGTCTAATCAAAATTTGTATGCCAACCAAAAAGTGGATGTTGGAGACCAGTGATATTACAACCCTGTGATCTAGGTAAACCTTTCGTCGGCTGTTGATTCGAGAAGGATACGAAAGACGTATCACCCACGTATTCGTAGGTCCTAAATGTCTACATGGTATTCTGTCTAAAAAGAGCTAGGTTATTGTACGAATAACAGGCGTTAAATATGGGCTATCGAAAGACCTAGGTAGTCTCTTTCGCTTTTCGCTTAGGTTTAATACAGTGGCCATTGAATTGAAGTCATTCACCTACGTTCATACATCGGCAGTCAATGAAAACTTTTAAGCAACATGTCAACCTACTCCATATGACACGTTGCTTGGACGAGGGAATTTCTCGAATCCTGGAAGCTTTCGGATGTACACTGAACACTGTCTCTAGAAAGACGATGGTTTGAATTAAGGTTCATTTGTCTCCAATGGGCTTCAGCTTGTCAGAAAATATAGAGTTTTGTAAACCATATATAGTCTGGAAATAAACACCTTCTGCCACATACGACCATAGACTGAGGAGAATTGGGCATCCCGTCCGCTCTGCCATACACAAGCCTCAGATCGGTAGATTAGTAGTTGGGTGGGTGACCACCAGCGAATCCCTACTGTTGTATGTTTTTGAATCTTTTAGATTTTTTGTGTTTGCCAGTGCTGTCTCTGGTCTTGTCATTTGTTTTGTTGAATGTCTGTTCGTCATTGAAAGCAGTACTACTAAACCCCCTCTGATATCGTTTTAGATGGAAACATGCCAGTGGTCATGTCGTTTGGGTATGTGAGAATTCTCTCGAGATCATCTTTTATGCCACATGTATGTATTGTGTCTAGCCCCGGATATCAAGCTTTTTCATACACGTTACGCATGTCCTAGCTGAATAAATGCACTCACACAACGCCGTTTCATCCCCCATTCAGCCATAGTCAAGAGTACCCTCCTGTTCCACTGACACCCGTGGAGCACAACGAACAAATGAAAAAGAAATCGAGGAAAAGCATGAGACAGACTGTATAGTATTCAAATAGTACGACTGTTGCATGCAAGATATACTTTGGAAAACCACATGCTTCATTTGAGCTCCGCGTTAACCCGATTCATTCTGCTTGGCACGATTGTATTGAGGAAAGTCCAAGTTCAAGATCCATACTCTGATCCTTTCCCCTCTTCTTTCTTCCACTGTGGAAACAGCTCGATCAACCTCCTTCTTTTAAACTAGTAGTTCTGCTTGTGGCTATTCAATCTCTCAACTATAACCTTGAACCCGTCCTCCAATTCCTTCCGGTACTTGGTCAAATCCTCTTCTTTCCTGATAGTACTCACTTTGTTCGTTTCCGCAAGATTTGTGCGGCTCTAATCAATGGCGTACTTATTCCTTTTGATGGCCCAGTCTGCGATTGTAGCTTTTGCGAACACACACTCATCGTACCGCCTCTTTTCCTCATCCGCTTCCTATGTATGCGAGCCTGTTTGGACGGATCCGAGTCGAATTTTTCCTGCTAGTCATTTTGCACGTGAAGGCACGCATGTCAATAGCTTTGGTATGTTTCACTTGGACGAACATATGGTATCTATCTATTGAAACTATTTGGTTTCGCCCATGTACTCGTGAATAATGGTGGTTGCATGTCGATGAGGATATCGGTCCAATGAGTTCTAGTTGTCCGTCTTGGCGCGATTAGGTGCGTTGGACTGAATGAATACGATTGCTCGTGTACAAAGCAGTCCAAATTTCGTTTCTGAAACCATTCTTGGTTATGTTGTTAACGAGTCCTTGGATCAACTCATTCAGCCATTGCCAAAGAAAGTCACTGCATCGCCATGTATTTCGTATGCGGATGTTAAAGCCGTATCAACGATATTCACAGGAGACTCCACGGGATATATACACATGAACTGAGCATCTATGTAGGAGATGAAGATGTAGGTTGACAGAGTCCATTTTCTCCACTGACGCGTTGCCTCGGGAGCGGAGTTTCATTGGGATTCTGCTTTTTATTATCTTGAAATGCATCATGAAAGTATTCACCAGCCTCTGGCATTATCAACAAAGCACGAACTTTAGAGAGTAATTGAGACGTGCTATGAGACTTTTCCTGCTGGCAATCTCGCAGATATCAAAACAGTTAGATTGACGTCGTTTCCAAGGTTCGTGAAGCTCACTTCTTGCGCCACATAGACTTGCACCAGCCACACTTTCAACCCCGCACGAAAAATTCAGGATCTCCGTTTTCTGTATACCTAGGTACCTATGGAAACCAAAGCATTCATAGACAGTTTGTTGTGATATTCTTCTATGTTGACAATCCTGAATGTTCCAAAGTTTATTGAGATGATTTTTGCAGTTAACGATTCAACGTTTCTTAATCGCCGTGGGCAGAGCTTCAGTGGCAACCATATAAGAAGAAGTCTTCCTCTCCATTTTGGACAATCGACCTTCTCATGACAAGGAGCTTTTCATTGAGACATAGTTTTTTCGGAAAGTTTTGATAAAATCAATGTCAAGAATAAGTGATCTTGATACGAAATTTTTAAGAATTGAAGGCTAGTGGCGTATGAAGTCAAGAGGCAGCGAAGAGATGATTAGAGGAATGAATGGAGAATTGATTCTTTTGATTGGTCTCACTTGATGTTTTTTTTAATTTGATAGCGAGGGAGCGACAAAGTCGGCGTTTATGTTTCAGAATCTTGAGTCTCTTTTCAACAGTGGTAGAAGGGTCTTGCAAGATCGAATATCCTGGAATTAAGAGTATCACTCTGGGCATGCTTTCAAGCCATGACCTACGTTCATCAGGAACGGTGTAAAGTATTTGTACATTCAAAATTCTCCTAGGCTGGACAAGAATTAAGTCACAAATATTCCAATATTCGGAAGTATCCAGAAAGTTGAGAATGAACTTGGAAGCCTGGGATCTGATCAAACCTTTAATTATATTCATCAGCTAAATCATGGTGGCATCAAATCTTGGACCAGGGATTCGATGGCGGCTTCCTGTTGCAGTTCACATCTCATTGGATTCAGATGTGCAATGACCAGCTCAGATCGAGCTTTCTTGCAAAGCCAAAGGTGGCGGAGAATCCTGATAATGCGAACTTCAAAAGCACATCAGGACTGAAGGACTGAAGGAGAGAGATGGATTTGATGGCCACTGCTCAATCCATACTTAATTAGAGTTGTTTGACTGGTCAGGTCTCTGGCATTTACCCTGTTCTCGTTTTGAACCCGGTTTCATGCAAATATTGAAATGCTTCAAGTCAAGTGTGGTACGGATAGCAATCTCATAATATATCTGCACTGCAAGTGGTAGGCATCTAATAACGGCAGCATGACTCAGATTACTCAGTGTGTAGTTCCAAGAACGGTATCGTTTAATATTCAAAGGTGTTTCTGATCCGATGAATCCTTTTGGCGTTTGGTCAAGAGTCATTGCCAGGCCCAAGAAAGGCTGTTTCCTCAACAATGCTATGAAAAAGCTGTGAGATCGGGAGATCAACTTTCATTGCCAACTTTGAGATAATTATTGGTGATTGCGTACAAATGCTGCGATAACAACTATGAACCACGATGGAACACCGCTGAAAAAGCTTAAGCACGATTTCCTTTGGCCTCTACGAACATGTATGGAGTCGTCAGGAGAGAAGGTGAATGATGAAGGAAGTACATATCAATTATCTGAAAGTTAGAAATAGAGATGTTGTTAATAGAATTGCTACCTTATTTTGTGCGTGGTGAAATGAGTAATCAACGTCCCTTCCTCATATTACTTTTTTCATACATGGAGTCAGCAACTCCTTTCATCGACGTAACAGATTACTAGATTATTGATAATCTATAGAAACGTCAAACCCATTAAGATTGGCTCAGTTGGAAAACAAGAGTTGCCAGATCATATATGAAGTGATGGCCTACATTTAATGGCTTTCCCGGCTGGAGTCTGTCAGTCAGAAGTTGTCAACCCTTGAAGCCAACTGAAACAATCTGAGTATTTGCAATACTAGGCATCTCGAAGTCTGAAATTCTTCTCTGCTATTAATAGCTTACTCAAATCATAGTCTGGTAGCCCAGCTTTAAATCACGAATTAGCATGAGTAGATCTAGAGCAACTTCGTGAATGCCAATGCGATGCTGAATAGTATGCAAGTTTTGTAGAGGTGTAACATCGCATGTTTCTATGCATTCATGGATAACACAATGATCACCCGATTCGATTCACACTTTATTCTTGATTCTCATAGTCACGAATTTTAGTGATGGAGTTTGTTGGTAACATGGCAACGGCACAAGTGTCCTTGGATTTTGGACACTGTGCTCATAGCAATAGTATAGAAGATTAATTAAAGATAATAAAACAATGGAACCATGGTATACACTCCGAACGTCCCAATTAAACCCCACAAATCAAACAATACTCAAAGGATCTGCCTTATGCAATCTAACCTGTACGCCGTTCATACTTCGATTTGTGACAGTATGGTGATATAGCACTGGGCCTGGTTTCTCTAAATTCTCAATTTGATCATACTTTTGAAGAAATCTTATAATAATATATGAAGTCTCAGTCAACGAAAATTGTTCTGCAAATACAAATTAGCTATCTATAGATTTGGCATCTCAAAGACGGGGAAACTTACGACCGATACATTTCCTTGGACCTCCGCCGAAGGGAATAAATTCCCATCCGGCCCTCCTCCCTTCCCATCTCTCAGGCCTGAACTTGTCGGCATCCTCACCCCAGATATCTTTCCTGTATTGCATCGCGTATGTCGATACCAATACTCTTGACCCAGCTGGTAAGAACATAGGTTGTGTACCGTCAGGACCTCCTCCGCGTGGTAAAACAGTATCTTGATTACAAGTGCGATCGTTCAATGGCACAGGTGCACCGACTCTTAACGACTCGTCAATCACATATTGTAGATATTTACAAGATCGCAAAGATTGAAATGAGATCTCTGAACCGGATGGTCCAAAGTCAGAGAGAATGATGCTTCGAAGTTTGGAGTAGATATCTGGATTACGTGCAAGGAAATAGAATATCCAACCGAGCAATGAACCAGTTGTGTCGCGCCCAGCGTTAAGTACTTGCAGTGTTTCGTGGCGAAGCTGGACGGGGTCCTGATTTACCTTCGCCAATTCATCCAAAAGCGAAAATGGCTTTTTCTCCGAATCGGGTTCTGGCCTTTTCTCGTCTTGGGTTTGACGGAGGCATCCTTCCACAAATTTGTCGACCATTCGATGCACCTCGTCACGGTGATAATCAAAGTTGCGGCCTTTGACAAATCCATTCCACCGACCAGCAATACCTTTCATGAACAATGTTTCTTTTCCTGCATCGAGATGACGTCCGAAAGTACGAAAATCCGTGTCTTCTGTGCTCTGTATAGGGTTTGGACTGGCTGTATTGCCCGCTTCTTGAGAATGTACAGATTTTCCATAGAGGAACTCAGTTGAGACGTCCAAAGTCAAATTGTAGAACAAAGGGGCTAGATCAACTTTTCCTGTCCAGCCATCTTGAGTGCTTTGAAGTTCATGCCGAGCAAATAGTGCCTGGACGTGTCGCTCTTCGAGATCAAGATCCGATACTCTATCTCTCGAAAATTGTGGTCGTACGAGTTGTCTGGAGTGTTTCCATGCATCGCCTGTGTTCTTGAAATTAGCGTTCGTGATATATAAAAACTAATTGCATGTTCATCATCATCAAGTGGAAGTGACATACCCTGAGCAGTGAAGATAGCATCGCCGAGAAGGGGACTCCAAATCTCCCTCCTTTGTGGTCCGATATCCCATTTGTTTGCTTCGGTTTGTAGAATGAACTGCACCAAGCTTGGATCTCTTGTAATAATAATTTCAGTGTCCAAAACCATTCCCCTCACAGTCAAAGTATCCGGTGATATCTTATCCATAAGTTCCATGAACCATATCGGGCTTCTTCCTTCGCGATTTGCTCTCGCCGCTGCAAGAACACTCATGATGCCAAAGGGATCAGATCCAGACACTGTTGGAGGGGGTGCGCAGCCATGCCGTTCCGACTCTTGTAGGCGTCTTCGCTGGGTGAGGAAGATGGAAATGCATTTCGAAAGAACGGCAAAAACGCCAATATACAAAGAAAGAGAAAAGATATACATGAATTAATGAATTGAGGATATTTTGATGATCTCAGGTGTTCGAGAATCTTATCAATTCAAATGGTGCTTGTCAATGGAGCATAATAGAATGGTAAGTAAAATCTTGTCGAGAGGAACTTCGATTGGAACAGGGATCAAAGGAAGAGTGAGTAGCTACATACATCAACTGGACATTGCGAAGATCTTCAAAAAAACAAAATAGAGTGAGCTAATCGTGATATACCTTAGACTATGCATAATACATGAGCGTTGCTATAACGCCTTCACAGTGCCATTATTGCCAAATATAATATTTCGGAACTTGGATAAGCTTCATCGAAAGGCCTAGTCAGGGTACCGCTAGTGCGTGCAGATCATATCCTCGGTACAGCGGTCCACAATACTATAACCTGGCTTATTACTAGTATGTCAATTATTGAAAAAAGGATTGTGCTGAGCTAAGTAGGAACTATCAAGGGATATGGGTATGCGTGTTTCTACAAGTGAGATGCCTGATGAAGTGGTGTGCGTTGTCAATATTCGTTGTGCCAGTTCACCGTCGAATGCCCTGGTTGTAAGTTGTAATAAAGCCAAGAATCACCCAGGGTATTCATGTTCTATTGAAATCAATTACATATCATCTTGCTGTTCAAAAACTTGCTTCCACAATTTGTATCTTTACTCTGCATCGAAATCATGAACAAAGAACCATACCCACTCTCTCCACTCGACCACCTATCACCACACGTCCACGTCCCTAAGCTCCTCTATTTTTCATCCAATTCAAAGTCCCAAGACATCATTCAAACTCTCAAAGATGGCCTTTCAGAAACTATATCAGCATTTCCTATCCTTGCCGCATCAGTTGGGCCATCACGGGAACTAAATTGTCAAAAAGGCTCACTTGCCGTGCAAGCTCCTTATTTCAGCGTCAATGAAATTCTTTCGGTGAAGGATCTCAGTTCAAAGTATGACTTTCAAAGTATTGCAGCCAACAGATTTCCTACCGATGCAGTTGATGGAGATGTGTTACCAAATTTTGTAAAGAATAATGCTCAAGTGTTTCTTGCACAAGCAAACATCATCAGGGGTGGCATTATTCTGGTTTGCGCCGTGAATCATTGTGTTATGGATGAAGCAGGAATATTTAATGTCTTGAAATTGTGGTCTACATTCTGTCATGGGGGAAATGGTTGTGAATTGGTGACTGAGGAATGGATTGACAACTCTGCTCTGTTGCAAGGACAGGGAACGGGTAAATTGGAGGATTATCCAGAATATAAACTGTTGCCAGAGGATTTATCTTCCACGCCATACGTTTCAGTCTCTTCAGATGTAGTGGGGACGGGTGTGTTCTTCTTCTCAGACGATTCTTTGCGACGTCTGAAAGAGCTAGCTAATGAGGGCTCGAACGATTTATCTTGGGTTTCTACAAACGATGCTTTGGTTGCACTCATTTGGTCCAGGATAACCTCGGCACGTTCAGCTACTTCAAACTCCGTCGAGCCATCTACTCCTTCCCTGCTCGTCATGACCGTCAACGGACGCAACCGCATTCAACCTGCTATGTCGCCCACTTTCACTGGAAATGTTGTGTTGATTGCCAAATCCAATAGCACGTTCTCTGATCTGATATCAATGTCCTCAAATACTACAGATATTGGAGTCATCGCACGCATCGTTCGCCAATCAGTGCGTGACGTTGATGAGGCAAGGGTCAAAGACGTAATCAAAGCAATCCAGAAAGTGTCGGATCTTAACCGATTGGAGCCAAGCGGCTTTGAATCTTGCCAACGTAATGTTGGGTGTTCATCTTGGTCGGGACAACCATATTACGGCCTGGATTGGGGGGACAACCTCGGTGGTAAATGCAAAAGGTTCAGATGGAGAAGTTTGAAAACTGATGGAGTCTTTGTCATTTTCCCGAGAATTCCCGGGGGCCAGGGAGAGAATTTTGGAGAGGGTGGTTTGGAGATTTGCATGGGCTTACGGAGAGAATGTTTGCTGGCATTGAGAGAGGACAAGGTTTTTGGTCAATTTGCAGAGTGGAGGTGCTCTTGAGGGCCAGGCTTTGGGCATGTCATCGTCAGTCATTTTTCTTATCATGTGTAGTGTTCAGTAATCTTATTTGAAATGATACACCTCTTGAAATTATTGAATATAGAGTTGATGCTGGCGACTTCTACAAAGTACAGAATCTACCAATACAATAACTCACTTCGCGGAATGCACGTTCATACCCTGTTGAAGTGGATATAAAATTAGTCTCCCACCATAATATGATTTTCTAAAAATTTGTTCCTGGACTTAGACGAGCTACGAATAGTTAATCGCCTAATTGCGTTTATGATGTCCTCCGGGGGTAATTCAAGATGCCGATTGACAATCGACAGTAAGGATCCTTCGATAAGTTAGCCGACGATCACTTGGATCCACTTAACTATCCATAAATATGATATAAACTTGTTTAGCGGGGAAAAGGATCGAGAGATCCTCAACATCAGTCACTGTACCAGTATCATTGTCGTCTAAGAAAGGAAATTTAACATGCGGACGAGATGGTGGCGTTTAAAGTTCATCGACACCGCGGATTCCGACTTTCCGCAAGATAGTTCAGATAGGGCGATTCGATCTAGACAACAATTGTTCTATAACGTGAACTACAGAGTAGAGTAATCAAATTTGACTCAAGCAGAATCACCAAAGATTGCGATTTGCAGAATCTCTCTCGTTCTGGTACAGTATGTCTTATGTGTGGTCCTTTGCTATTGCATAGAACTTTCCGACTTGGTGGGTCTTTAGCGGTGACGAATCTCTGTCCGTGCTTTGGTGGGGCAGCTGAGGGAGCGCTAGCTTCGCTGTCCCTGACTTAACCAGATTTCGCTTGGCCTTACATCGCCAAGCTTAAAATGTGCGAATGCAATGGTCTCACGTGACCGTATTGAGATCGTTCTTAAACACACTAAAGTAACCTTTGTGGCGTTCCAAGCGGCAGTCGACAAGGAGTTCATTAAATGAAGGTGAGCTTAATGTTTGCTCCGTTATACCCATAATTGCTTGATTCTGATCTGCCGATCTCCCTTTAGCATCTAAGATCCGGCGGTAGGGAAAACTCTACTCGCCCAGCGGCCTTCTTAGGAACACCAGACTCCCTTTCGGGGTCTCTTGCTGTCTCAGAAATGGTAGATCGGTATGATCAGCAGATTGCGGGAATCCTGGTCGAATAATCGGTCAGTCGCCAGGATTGTGGTATATATCTTCATTCTCATTGCGTTGGAAATTGAATAATTCATCAAACACTTCACATTCATTCATCAATCACACTCATTTAGCAAACTATCCACATTCATTTCACCCTCCACAATTAATCTTCAAACTAACCCGTTTACTCAACCCCAAACCGAAAACATGCAATTCTCACGTATCTCTGCTCTCGCTCTCGTCGTTGTCCTTGCGGACTTCAGCATTGCTCTTCCCGTCGACAAGGGCTCATCGATTGCCGATTTAAGCCAAATTGTTCCAGGAGGTGCCAATGTGAGTAAAATTTCAAATAGAATTATTGAGAAGTTGTTTCTAACAGATCGATCAACAGGTGATCCCTCGCCATGAAGGAAACCCAGGGTACGAGGCTGCTCAAGCAGGAGAGGGTCCATTGGCCCCAGCCCACCCAACTGAGGTCCACCCAACTCCCGTCCAACCAGTTGTGATTCACCCAACTCCAGTTCACCCAGCTGCAGTCCACCCAACTCCAGTCCACCCAGGTACTGTTCAACCAGGTGATGCTCAACCCGCCGGTGTTCAACCCACCGATGTCCAAACCGCTGATGCCGACCCTGCCAACATTCAACAAACTGGATTTCACCCAACCATCAACCACGCGGAACAAGTCCAGAGCAACCATGGAAACTCTTTGATCGATGTTGAGCCCCAGGTTCTCATTCCTATTGATCTCGACTGTGTAGGAATCGCTGTCTGCAACCCTGTTACAGTCAACAGAGAGGGAAGCACCAGTGCATAAGCTGGCACGGCGGCTATGCATTGATCGCGCTTCATCGGGGTCGGGGAGGATGATTCCAAGGTCTTTGAGAATATTTAGCAGGGAATGGAGCCTGCATGTCAGTTGAGACGATATTTGAAATTTGGGGAGAAAACTTTTTGGCGAGATGACTTTTGTGGAGATTTCTAATTCTAATATATATACATTTTTACCTTTCTGAAATTGCTTCTGTCCACTGCTCCAAGTTTTGATTTCGTGAACTTTCAATGTTTCATATGCACATATGCACATATGCACATATGCATTTGAATTGCTTGAATTGCTTGTATTGCAAATTGAAAATTCAGAATTTGCAGAAATAGGAACATTTGACAAGGTCCAGTGCCTAGCACACCCTGCCTACTTCTAACTTCTATCATTGAGGATGGGAAGAACCATGCTCTCAATCCTTCAACAAAGTGCATCTATCGGACAAATGGTTATATAGCCCGCTTTCTCCCCACTATCGTGCGCAGATGACGTGTTTGATAGTGTGCTACGTAATATGGAATGGGGTATCATATTTCAATATCCCCTGTTCATACGAAGAGGGCGTTCGCGACCTCGAGAACAAGTCGGACACCAAAATTCTACATCTCAATCAGAATTTAATATCGGAAACGAACAAAAAACAATTTTCTCTTTATAATTTCAAATATCAACAATTTGATGGAGAAAAAATCTAGAAATTTAATTTAAAAGAATAGAAATATACAAGAAAGTTTAAATCAGGTTTCAAAAAAGATTGATTTCTGAGTTCATTTCATTTTGGGGGTTTGATATCTCGCGTTTTCTCAATGTCGCAAAGGTGGGCAGAATGGATACAGCCCCTCTTCGACTCCTGCCCCTCTATAAATTCTGCCCGTCTTTGACTTCTATGCATCATCATGTGTGTAAACTCTTTGGAATTTATTCGACAGTATCGAGACCGCTGTAAAATTTGTACTCATTGCTCATCACACCCTTAGCGAAGACATAACAAGACCCTTCATCTCTTCAATCTTTGATCTACCAAATGCATCAATATCAGATCGGCGACAGATGATACTCGGATTCATAACTGATCAATAGATCTAATACAATCAATCCGAAGTCAAGACAAGATATTTACATTGTTTTTATGAAGGAATTGTAGCTTTTTAGCATTGAGATCAGAGACGCTTCTATACATCTAGATTTCAGTTGAATCGATTTACTTTTTGAGCGGTACTAGCACTTCAGTTCATGTAATAAAGCAAGTATTTTATAAGAATTATATTACAGAAAGGATACGGTACGTGAAATATGACCAGAACTCTTACAAGAGTCTTCGTGAAAAAATCTATGTAAAAATTAAAAACGATTTTGTACCATCTCCTAGTTTTCCTTCATGCCAACTAACATTGACATTCGCATCAACTATAAACAACTTCAGATGGCAGTAACCTTGACTTGAAGACCATCTCTTGGTCTCAAAACCAATCTCCACATCTTTAAGTCTTCGGGATTCTCCACGCTCTCATCACGCTCAAACTTGTACATGCTCAATAAACAACATAACAAAACCTTCATTTCGGTCTCGGCAAATTTGCGTCCAATACATCCTCTAGGGCCTTGCAAGAAAGTCATGAAAGCATTGGCCGTGAACGTAGCAGGCAATTTGTTCCAACGATCAGGGTCAAAAACGTTGGCTGTGGGACCCCAGTACATAGGAAGATGGTTAACAGTGTTTGCGAGAATATAGATGACCGTACCGCCTGGAACTGTGTATGGACCCAATTTATCGTCTTTGAGAGATTGTCGGACTGTCATTGGAATGGGTGGAATGAAACGGAGAGATTCACGGCAGACATTGTCGAGGTATGGTAGAAGATCAGCATCAGTCTTTTCGACGCTTCCTTCATAACGGGATTTTTGATCGAATAGGAAAGGCATGTGCTCGCGGATCTCGGCTCTGAGTTTCTCTTGAATTTCCGGATGAGTTGAGAGAAGATGAATTGTCCATGCTAAACCTGTTGCTGTTGTGTCGTGGCCGGCTCCAAGGAAAGTCTGTGGACAATGTAAATTAGTCTTCCGCAAGATTACGAGGTGTTGTTTACGACTTCTGCTTACCATGATTTGATCACGCATAGTCTCGAAAGATAAACCTTCTTCACCAGCTTCCTTCATTTTCAGGTTGTCCTTGGCAATCAATGCGATGATGTCCTTATGATTAGTTCTCTGAGCAGCTTGTTCTTGCTTCTCGTCAATGATATCTGTTGCAGTCCTGAGAATAATCTTTCGCGAACTCTCCATATCACGGTTCATCTTAGCGGGAATGTACTTAGTGGATGGAATAAAGGCTTGAAGACCGTGCAAGATACGGGATCCAATGTCGAAAGCAAAGACAAGTCGGTAGGCCTCACGAATTTCAGCTTCGGGATTCTCGAGAGAGTTGATATCAACACCAAAGCCAGCGGCACCAATGATGTCAAGTGTAGTGCGGTTCAACCATTCCAAAACCTCAAAAGGCTTACTTTTTACCGAGTCAGCGTCCATTTCTTCCTTCCACAGTTTGGTGAGAAGCAATGATTTCTGCCAAAATACTGGGTAGAGAGCTCGAATCGATTGGATAGAGAAACCTGGTGTTAAGGACTTTCGTTGATGAATGTGCTCATCTCCCTCAGCAAGAAGGACACCTTCTCCAAGAATTCTGACCATCCACAACTTCGCGCGCACTGGCTTGGGATAGTTGTATGGATTTCTGGTTGTCATCTACGATTTCATGTTAAAGATTGTACAAAGTAAGTCATGCTGATCTATCATACCTGCTTGATTGCATCGTCATCTACCACTGAAAGACGTTCAGCTCCAAAGGGAAAGAAGTATCTAATAATTGGGCCGTGGGTTTGATGCCATTCACGCTGGCTGACACCAATCTCAGTGCTGATAATCTCAAAGAATTGGCCCCAGAGAGGGAAGCCAGGGACGGTAGGAACATGTCGCAGCTCGGAAATATAGAATGGGAAGATGTAACTGAGATAAAAGACATATGTCGGTATGAAGACTCCAAAAACAATTTGAAGTGAGTATAGAGTGCTCCACGAGGAGTTCTTTGATATCAGGAGTGCAATCAATGCCGCTGCCCCAGAAAGGGAGGCGAAAGATACTTCGATAGCCATGTCGTTGCTCAAAGTAAAGTGTTATTGAGTTGAGAAGGAAACGACAAGACAAAGACCGGAATTATGTCACTGATGAATGAATTCGAAATGCTAATGAAATTATTCACCGTCCATACTTGTGGATCGTAATTTTAACAACACTTGGTGTATCTTAGCCAGAATGCTCGAAAATGTTGATCTCATTGATCGTCATCACACCTTTACGATCGAATCTATCTAAAATTCTCCACAAATATTGCAGAAGTGCATTCCTAAGAATGTATCAACTACTAATAACTTTCAATAGACGGTAAACAATATATCTGGCTAACATTTCGAACAATGCCAGCACGATACGTACACATCCTTGCTTGACACGCCAAAATTGCTGTCTTAACTAATTGCTCGGCGTGATCGAATCTCGCATGGTGTGGGTCAGAGACTTCTTTATGGAGATGTGCAAGAAGCATTCTATTAATATGAGTTTATCGAAATGGTTCTAATTGACTCAAAAAGAAAACTTTAAATCTTCGAGAAAAGAATAACGTGAAACAGCCGTCCCGCTTGTGAGATTTGGATTAGTATCGTCCCCACTGTTGTTGTTGATCTACAAGCACTAGTTGGAATTTCAACGTGAGCGGGAAGCAGACAACCGAAACGAGTAATTGCGCGATCATCAAGATTCAAGATAGGCGAAAGGTACCCGCAAAAAGCTTATCTTTACTTAGACGTCCCCAACAGAACCCCCTACGACACATCATTTGTGGATCCTCCCTACTAACCAATGCGGAGCTAGTCCGTGTACTTCGGAGAAATTCATCCATTCGATCATTTCTATGCACGCCAAGTGGTAGCAATAATTCGATGCTTGAAACGTCCGGAAGCTCAACTTGTTTCCCCAAATCTGTCGTTACACTTCCCGTCGCCCCTGATAGCGGCCATTCATCATAGTGACAAAGCTCCACTTCATGGCGAAAGTTAGCCAGGAAGTAGACTTTACATACCTTTAGAATTGAAAGTAGTTTTCAAACTCTCAATCACTCAGCTCGAGATTTTGGCTCAGATCGTCCGTACTACAAATTCTAGCCTTGATTGTGATCGTCATCACTAGTCCGTAGAAGTTTTCAAAGTTTTGGATGTATGAGAAACGGCATTTCAACTGGGATTAGCAATATCCTCCCTATCTTTTGAAAGAAGCAAAATTCTTTAAGATATAATCGTTAACCCTTAAAATAACAAAATTCTTTTTGACATCAGAATTCCATCTTGAATCTCATTCTTATCTCCACATTCTTTTCTCACGAGTTGCGACAGCATCAGCCAATATGTCAAGCAGTACACTTCTTTTGCCGCTGAATGGAGCCATCCAGTTCTCCCCATGGGAAGCCTTCGATAAGCTCTGGACGTCGATCGCAGGATATCCTGCTGAAGACTTTGAGTTCATTCCAGGAAAGACGCCAATGGCTACGTTGAAAGGAACTCTTGTTACAGTAGCTCTTTACTACGTGATCATCTTTGGTGGTCAAGCATGGATGAAGAACCGTCCAGCATATAAACTAAATGGTCTGTTCATGGCACACAACTTGATGTTGACTGTCGTAAGCGGTTCATTACTTGTTCTGTTTGCGCAGCAGCTCATTCCAAGTCTGTGGAAAAATGGCTTGTTTGATGGTATCTGCGGTGGAACTGGATGGACCAAGCCATTGGTTACTCTCTACTACGTATGTTCATGTTCCTAAGACCTGAAAAAAGATCATACTAATGAAGACAAACAGTTGAACTACATCACCAAGTATGTGGAGTTGCTTGATACCGTTTTCTTGTTTCTCAAGAAGAAGCCTTTGAGTAAGTCATAACCGAACCTGAACTCATGCAGTGCTTATTGTTATCCTAGCTTTCCTTCACTGCTATCACCACCCAGCAACAGCTCTCTTGTGCTATACTCAACTTGTCGGACACACTCCAGTATCCTGGGTCCCAATCACTTTGAACCTCTCCGTTCACGTTGTGATGTATTGGTACTACTTCCAGAGTGCACGTGGAATCCGTATCACCTGGAAGGAATGGATCACCCGCATGCAAATCACCCAATTTGTCATTGATCTTTTCGCAGTTTACGTAAGTCTCAGAATCTGGAAACAAAATTCGTACTGACCTTTCTCCAGTTCGCCACATATAACTACTACGCTAGCACCTATTACCAAAATCTCCCCCACTTCGGAACATGTGCTGGTGAGCCATTCGCTGCTTTCGCTGGATGTACCATTTTGAGCTCCTACCTCTTTCTTTTCATCTCTTTCTATTTTGCTACATACAAGAAGACTGTAGTGAAGAGAACCGTCACCAAGACCCACGTCATCAAGACCCAGGATATTAAAACTGTAGTAAAGTCATAAACAGTGAAGTTTTAAGCCACAGAGCCATTGACTGAGGAGCTTTCCCTCTTGTACTCTGGGGGATCTTTGTAGAAGGCACGTTTCAGGGGGTGTTGATGGGATAGATTCGAGAAGTAGTTCTAATGGGAAGTGGATGGGGAAGTTTGTATTTGATAAGTTTTATTTGGTAGCATAATGTATATTCTCCCTGTGAGAGCTTCGAATGTAAGAATAGAAAACAAGTTTAATCTCTGGAAATTTGCACCATGTTCACGTGTAAAATAAAATCTTCTATGTATTCCGATTAGATTATGCGGTAATATCATTCTTCGAGTTGACAGTAACTAGTTCTTGGGCTAGCTCCAATACCCTCTACCTGGTTCCGGGAGCCTATCCATATGCTCGAGTGGTTGATACAGGTCTTGGCAACAATTATTTGCACTGACTCTAACGAGCTGCCAGCTTTCGCAATCTTGTCAGCCCTAAATCAAAGCAACCATATGGGTGGATTTCAGAGGGAAACCCTAGCCCAGAAAGGGTATATGAATCAAATATAATGTCTTTTGATCCCCATAAGGGTATAGCCGGCCTAATGTCGGTTACACCGTAGTCGGTTTAGTCTTTTCAACACCCGCTATCGAGCCAGTAATCGATTCGGACCTTTGATAGATTAACTTTTTCGGCCACGTCCAGGTTTTCTGTGTAGATCTTTATACTATTAACACATAGTGGTTTCACGCCGGATCCCGAATGGGAAACGAAAGTGACCCGCACTAGTGCATTGGATTTTAAACTAATGCAAGAGCCGCCGGAAACTGGAATGCGGTATCCTCACCCAGCCGTCTTCATTTAACTAGCGTGTATGACGATCAACCTGGCGAGGTAGATCTTTAATTTTGGTAATAGACATTACGAAGAAGATCTCTGCATGGAAGGCCATCATGCTCAATTTCCACGAAATTTTGGTGAACTTTAAAGATCATAAACTCACACGAATATTGAGTCTATCTGAGCGCCATCTACGACATGTATTATTAGAAGTTCAGGCTAGCTCTTGCCATTTGCAGTGTTGGCGGTGAAATCAAGCATTTCAGTAACAGAAAACAGAAATGATTTCTTCTTTCTCTTTTCTATGATCTCATTTTCTTTACACATGTCAAATATTCTAGAGTAATATTCTGCACCGCAGAAATCTTCGTCTTCAGTACCTCTTTCACTCTCAGAATTCAAAATGAACAACTTTACAGTCAATGGTACAGCCGCGCACCTGTATACCGGGCTTACAATTCAACCCTTCCTCCCAAGCAGCAAGACTTTTGTCTGGGCCATCATCACGTACTCTTTACACATTCTTCTGAGGATTTTAGATTATGTTTATACATCGCTGACAGTATGGAAGCTCGCTGTACTTTTACTAGCGATTGGGAATTTCAAGACTCTGCCATTAATTTGGCATTTACGTATCGTCAACGCCTTTCGATTCTGTCTCCGCTCACAGCGGCCCAAAGTTAAATGTGGACCACATCAACTTTTCCAGCCCTTGATCACTGAGTCTCATGCCCCGTTGATGGAGATTGACTTGAACCTCCACAGTAAGTTGAAAATGCTATTTCCAGGTATATAGTTACTGACTCCCCTTAGAAAGCAACAGTTCCTACTTTTCAGATGCTGACGTAGCTCGAACACACTTGTTTTGTACGCTATTCTCCGAGGCCATCGAACAGATGAGAGGTGGAACAGAGGCAGTTACAGGATCGAAGGGACCTGTTTTTGGCATTGCTTTGGGGGCAGTAAACTGCAATTTCAAGAAGGAACTCAAGCCTTATGAATCATACGAGATGTGGACAAGAATTCTTTCGTGGGACGAAAAATGGATATGGACTGTCACCCATTTTGTTCGAAAGGATGCTTCAAAACCAAAGTCATACACCCTCTATCCACAGCAGAAATCGGATGAAGAATATGAAAACCGCAAGGAATTGGATCCAAGAGCAGGTGTTGTGGCATCCTCGCTTGGCAAATGTGTTTTCAAGCAAGGTCGCAAAACAATCAGTCCTGAATTTATGATGAGAGCTTCCGGACTGCTTCCGGATGATCTTCAGAAAAATGAAATGGATGCGCAATTGAATGAAGAAATAAAATCCGGCAACTTTGAAAAATGGACACATGCAAAGATCGAGGAAGAACGATTAAGGGGAAAGAAAATCGCAGACACTTTGTCTGTAGAAAGCCAGCAAGAGTTGGAGGCATCATTCACTGGTGAATCTGAGGCATTAGGAAGACATACTGATGGTACTGGCTTAGTTGGCGTTTTGTCTACTCTTGCTCAATTGGCGGGGCTGAAGAGGAACCAAATCTTATGAGCTATCAGCGCTCATGTGTTCTGGATATAAGGTTTTCATTGCTGTCTGTACATAGTATAATTTTTAATCTGCCGCGTACATAGACAACAATTGCAGCGCATTTGTCACATGGTGTTGAAATGACTTCATTTTCACACGTTGAATGAAGTTTTGTGTGTTGGAGATCAGTCCATACGTACAAAAGAAGCTTTTGTCACAGCGTCGGCCCATTGAAAATTCGGGTCGTGATTCAAATAACCTAAAATTTTTAGTTAGCTGAGATGTCACAGACCAATTTCTCCGGTAAAGATCTACATCGAGAAACCCAGTTCTCCTCCCGAACGGTGCCGGATATCTGTACTAGTTCATAGCCCGCATATCTACAATAGTATATATTGTTGATCGGCAATCCCGTATCCGCAACTAATGGTTTACCTACGTAATCAACTATACCCAATATCTCACATCGTAATTTGGATTGTAGTGAACAAAGGAGTTGAAACAACTTTACATCGACATTAATATCAAAAAATACCACGAAGGCATCCCCTGGAGATGCAAATATGGGTTCGGACGGTGAAGCGAGCTCTCCAATCGAACATGCAGCACCAAATACAGATTTAGTGGAAGAACTTGACTTTTCGCGTCAAATTTTCCAGGAACGACCGTCATCTGAAACTACTCAGGATGACAGAGAAGACCATTCGGCTTTAAATGAGGCCAATGGACTCTCTCATCATCCAGATACTGATAACAATCAGCAAGCAGTAAATAAAGGATCTGGTAGACAAGAAGGTTCTCAAGATCATGTGGAAGAGATCAAAGATGGAACTAAACCTCAGCTCGCAGAAAACACGTTTGGAAAAGCAGAATCACAGTTAGGTCACAACAAGGAGATACCGACAGAGGGGTTAAATTCTCAACGAAGTCCTCAACAGCCCGCAGAACAGAAGCCAAGGGTCTCTCACGATTCATTGAACACTCCCAAAGAAAAGTCGCGCAATGTGAGCTCAGATTCGCGTCCCTCTACCATGGAGAGTACGAAAGCAGGCTCTGATTATGCAGGATTTGATTCTATCGCGCAGTTGGAAAAACCATCACTCGAGGAGGAAAGCACACGGATATTACGACCCAGCATGTCTCGTGGGACACGAAAATCTTCAGACAATGATACGAACAAAGCACCCCGAAATAATGCTGCCCTCAATGAACTGTTCACAGATATCATAGCATCTGCAGCTCCATCACTCCGACATCTAGCATCTCAAAGCACGCTTGGTGAATCCGTGTCTAGCGCCAAGAGAAGAAGTAGGACCTATGAGCGACCACATCGATTATCAACTCCTGTGGAAGAGCAAAGACACCCTGGAAAACCCGGATTATGGAGTGATCAATTTATGAAGAACATAGATGAGATGGTAGATTGGGAAACTAAAGACGTGAACGCAATATCGTTGGCGTCTACTAGTAATCTGGATGCTTTCGGGTCTCGCGCAAAAACCGAAAAAATTGAGGAGTTTATTGCGCAACCAGAGCCACAGGAATTGGACGCGGAAATTGAGTATCCTGGAACTCTTGCTCTAACGATTCTCACAATCGGGCTTTGCCTGTCGGTACTTTTGATTTCTTTGGATAGAACGATTATTACAACTGTATGCCTGTCATTCCCAATTCCTCCGTTGCGCACATTACTAACATTACTCCTAGGCGATTCCATATATTAGTGGAGAATTTCATTCATACGCAGACGTTGGGTGGTATGGAAGTGCATACCTCCTTACGGCATGCGCGTTCCAACCGATGTACGGAAGGATCTTTACTAATTTCAGTATTAAATGGTCATATCTAGGAGCAAATGCGCTATTCGAGATAGGATCATTGATTTGTGGTGTAGCTCCGAATTCTCTCACATTGATTATAGGGCGTGCCATCGCTGGAGTTGGGAGCGCGGGTATTTTGACCGGGTCTTTTGTTGTGGTCGCTCATAGTGTTCCGATACAAAAACGTCCCGTCTTCACCGCGGCTGTGGGTTTGATGTGAGTATTGCAACTTGGCTACTCATCCATAGACTAATTTGGTTGTAGGTTCGGATTGGGAGCTACAGTGGGACCATTAATGGGAGGAGTTTTCACGGACAAAGTATCATGGAGATGGTGTTTCTATTTCAACCTTCCGGTCGGTGGTGTAACCATCTTAGCCATGATCTTATTCTTCAACCCTAAGAATAACACAGAAACAAAACAATCGTTCGGCTCACGAGTCCTGGATCTTGATATCCTCGGAAATATTCTTCTGCTCGGTGCATGCGTCATGCTTTTCATAGCTTTCCAACGTACTGAAGAGGTAAGTTCTACTCTTCTGGTTTGGTGGTCTACAACTACTAGGTATTGACTATTCATTAGGGTAATTCTTGGTCTAGCCCCATGGTTATTGGACTTCTCGCCGGCTTCGGAGTAACCATGGTTTTGTTAGGACTGTGGTTCTGGTACAGAGGTGACAAGGCTTTGGTTCCGCTTGAAATCCTCCAGCAGCGAACCGTATTAGCAAGCTGCCTTTTCTCGTTCTTCCTCTACTCAGCCTTGATTATTCACGGCTATTATCTACCTCAGTGGTTTCAAGCGATCAAGAATACAACTGCAATTGCATCTGGTGTTGACATGATTCCATATGTCCTCTGCAACGCTTTCTTCTCACTCGTGGCCGGTGTTCTCGTCTCCAAGACCGGATACTTCACACCACCCGCTATCATCGGTACAGCAATCGCTACGATAGGCTGTGGATTCATCAGCACGTTCAGAACTGATACCACGTCCGCTGAGTGGATCGGCTACGAGATTCTCAGTGCGACGGGATTCGGAATTGCAATCCAACAAGGATTCACCGCTGTCCAAACCGTCTTGCCATTGGATAAAATCCCCATCGGCACCGCTGCGGTGGTTGCATCGCAGTCTTTTGGTGGCGCAGTTTTTGTTTCTGTTGGAAACACAATTCTTCAGAGCCAATTAAAAGCTTCATATGACAGTGGAGAGCTACCAGGAATCAACATCCAGGCAGTTTTGGATGCTGGTGCCACGGGCTTCAGATCTGTAGTTGATGCGGATCAATTGCCTGCACTATTGGAAGTATACAATGGTGCGTTGCAGAAAGTTTTTATCGCAGCGATTCCTGTTACTGGATTGGCGTTTATTTCTTCTCTATTTCTGGAATGGAAGAGTGTTAAAGCTCAGGAGTCCACTGAACAGGTCTGAACCTTTTGACTTTGCGATTGTGCGTTTGTTTACGGTCAATGCGGTAATTTGAATATTATCTATGTACATATTCTTCCAGTCTAAATTGCATTATCATATCTTGGAGGGTACGATTAGATCATAGTAAATAACATAATTTAATACAACAGTAAGAGCGGAAGACTGAGTTGTTCTAGTGAAAAATTAATCGAAAATATGATTGTTAAAGCAGATGTTGAAGTAAAAGAGTACATGCTGACCGAATTGGACTGATCCGCTTCGTTCGTTTCTCGTTTTTGAAAGAAGTTCCATATCTAGGTACCCCGGGCTTAGGTAGGTATTTTTATATCGAGCTTATGAATAAGGCTAATTTGAATCATTACTTGTAAAATCATTTCATAGAACAAGAGGAAATAATGTCGATCAGACCGAGCAAATATAATTGCAACGTATGATGTACTTCCATGCCATTCCACTTAATTATGAAACACTCCAAGAAGGTAAATCTTTTAACTTCTATACAGTAACATGATTTCATCTGGTAAAAATTATGTTTCAAACATGTTTTACAGTTGTGATATCACTTATTCACTTGAAGTTAATAAGTGATTTAGTATATTATACTTATAATAGGGTTCAAGGATAAAGTTAGACTGAAATATGCATGAAATCGGTCCAGATGCATCTGAGAAGAGCAAGCATCTGTGGCCAAATCGTGAAGATGCTGTTTTTACTATTGAACTAAGACACTCCTTAAGTTGCCAGTCTGTCATAAAAATTCCTCGTCCGTGTCTGAATAACTCATAGTCCAGTTTTCAGCACTTGAAAACCGCACCTATCAGTCTTTCCCACTTATTCCATACATCTCGTCCACCTCTAAAGACATCATCTAGCTCTCTATCCATTATGTGATCCTCTCTGTGCATCTCCGTTGCCAAGCCCATACAATTAGTTCCTTCATATCCACTTGCGCAATTCTCGCTGGAGACAATGTTGCTCTTCGTGTCTCGCGAGACCAAGCCTTCAGGTTGTGGTAAGACCCCCATATTAGGAGAAGCGGACCGAGACATGGCTGTGAATTTCCGTGTATTCTGGTTTAATCTGGCTTGTACTCTTCTATAGAGTAGGATGAGGATATCTTGACGTGGGTAACCATATGACTTGCGCGTGATACGAGAAGTATGATTAGAATGGGTGGATTCGGGCGATCCGGAAGCAGCACGACTGGCACCAGGTCTGGGGCTAGATAGTTCGACATCGAAGACTTTATCCACAAGAACTTTCAGCGATTGAGCCTTGGTATCCAAAGAAGTGCATAGACTAAGGTGCATGAGGAGGATAAAAACAGCGTGGTGAGGCTGTATGAGACCAGGGAGAATACACTTCAATGACGTTGCGGAGGTCGTGTCGGATAGGAAAAGATATTTTTGCAGAGATGAACTTGCAGCCCTGGGTTGAATGTGTTAGTGATAAACAGTAAGAATGACACTCTTGGTGATGACAAACCGGACAATATCATTGCGCCACCCAATATCCTGCAATTGTTCTGCTTGGCAGAAGTTCAAGCCGAGAAGGCAATATACACTATCAATCAATAACATCAGGTACGCCCGCGGTCGTAAGTTTTCTGCTTTTACCTCCGGTAACAATTTCAGAAGATTCTCGATGCTTTCAACAAGACGAACAGCATCTTCCTGTGTTGGCATGTTCATGACCCACCCGCGCATACAACGCACCCACTGGCACTGGCCGTAAAACGCGATCATCATTGGTGAAGCTGAATCTTGGCTAGAGGCATGATTTAACACCATGGGTAACGAAAAATCGTTTGTGTATCCGCTTCTAGTCATCAGTGAAGGCGCGCCGGTCGTGATAGTCGACTGCAGATCCAAAAACAGCAAATGCCACCACATTCTCTTTTCAACTTCAGCCTGGACACCAACACTTTGATACGGTTTGTCGGAATGGAGTTGTAATGATTGAGCGAGTCTAATGGCGTGGGATAGGAAACCATACCGGAACTGTGAGAATGATGTGCTAGCTCGAAAAGTGTTTACAAGTAGGTAAGCCTGCAGAAGCTGGATCGCAGATGATCTTCGGTGTGTGTGATGATATGTTGGAAGATTAACTACATCTAATAGCTGTTCGTATAGTTCTTGTAATGTTGTTGATTGTGAAATATTTATGGTAGAATTAGCAGCCCCACAATATAGAACAGCTAAGATGAGTAGGGTAGATTCGACCGAGGTCTTAGAAGACAGGTTGGCCCAGAAGCTGCTGTACTCATCTATAAGGGTATCAATATGGCATATGGGCACTGCAGATTGTAGTCCAATGAAGTTGTTCAAGAAATGATCACAAACTTCTCGCGCTGGAACTTTCATCCGAAAAGAGGAAATGAAATCTTCGCCGAGTGCACCAAGGGTTATCGCTGGATTTTTGATAGGCTGATGGAATTGAGGATCTATATCATTGGCGAGAGTCTTTGGGAGGAAACGAGACGATGGTGATTGGGACACTTTAACCACCGACCGACTATTTGCTTTTGACTTAATACCGGATTTCCTCTCGGTGATTGGATTTGACATAACTGGCGATGGCGACTTCCTAGCCGAACTCCTTGATACATTCACCTCAATGAACTCAAATTCGGGTATTTCGCTGTTCAAGTATTTGCAAAGTCGTCCCCCCTTCTTACATTGGGTGCAGAATGGCCTGTCGCGGCTACATTTAACCTAGAGTTATCAAATCAGTACATTTCATAAGTATGGATCGAAAAGTAAAAGCCAACTCTTCTATCACGGCATGTTGTACAAGCCGTAGTCCTGCGATAACGTCTAATACCACTAGACTCCACACTACTTGGACTCCCAGGAGGGCTTAGCGAAATCTTTGGTGTATATGATCTTGGTTGAAAGTGGTCAATAGAATTTGATGATTGGAGCCAGCAGGAAGTTCGAGGCAGTTCTGTTTCAAGTAGTGTTGTTCCAAAGTTTACCATGTTTGAAGATGTGTGGTCGGAATAGTCGCAAGCTAAGAATCGATCAAGGTAACTAAGAAAGGCCAGAACTATAGAGAAGTGAAAAGCAATCTCCACTAAAGGCGAGTTGGTTAATAAACGTTTTGAATGTGGTTTTCTCCCCTCAAAAAGATTCAACCTGGTCGACGGTACAAGACCAGGTAGACCCGTATCAAAATCCTGCCGATGCCCATCTTTGCTTGAGCCTCCATAACTAATCTTGGATAATAAAACTCCTAGAACATGGTAGTCAACGCGGATGAACCCCAGAAATTGTATAGCCCCACTTAATTCATAATAGTGGGAATGTTTTTACAATGATTGTATCAAACGGGCTCCAAATGAGTTTGAGGTAAGCTTACCAGCACCAATCTTAAGCTTAAGGTCAAGCTCAAACTCAAAAGCATAATAACATCTTGGTATCTCGGGCCCTTGCGTGTAGAGTAGGAATGAATCCTGTGCTTTTACAAGCCTCAACAGATCGTGCCTCATAGCTTTTCACACCTTCTGATCATCATATTGAGAATTTACCCCCACCTATTCAACATGCAGAGATGTTGCAGGCATGTTCCAGATAACACATGGCAGCATGGTAATATGGCTATTGCGGAATAAGATTTGCAGGGGACTCAAGGAACACTTGATGGTCTGTGTCGGAACTTTCCATTCTTTTCTTCAAAGGATCCGAACATGATTTCGCATATTGCTGGCGCTTAAGACGATGGATACAGATGGCTGCGAACAAGGCAGATTGTATGTTGCGTTTATTTTGTGTTCATCCAACTACCCAGTGGGAAACTTGCACACTCAAATATGTTACTTCGACCCTTCGAGCACATGTAAAAGGTCTCTCTGGACGGGGGATGCGCGTTATGCTGGAATTAGGACTCCGAAGTGCTTCAATTTTGTGGAATATTTGCGGGTGATGATTTCTACAGCCACGTCATTGCTTATGCAAAGCCGGAAGTACTCAAATGCCGCGAATTCAGTACAAACGTGGTCTTATAGGATCTATAGAGTCATGCGTGCGCGATATGGTGGCGTTAGAGAACATTTCGTGTGTCCAGGTTCACTTTGAATCATTAGGTAGGTACTAGGTAGTCAAATGTCTGAAATTATGATATTCGGTAGAACTTCGGTGGTAAGAACAATAATCTTTCAGCTCCAAGGTATGGCGCGTCATACATACGTCGACTGTACCTTCCAGAAATGGTTCATATCATTTATCCTAGGAATTTACGTGAAGTTATCATTCCTCACAGCCTTGCACAAGGGAGATGAGCTTTTTGTTCGTTGAGTGTCTAATTTATATAAGTACGTGTATATATTGCTACAAGATAGTGTCTGTCACATGATTGGGCACTTTGGCGGAGTGGTTAACGCGATGCCCTGCTACTGAGTAGATCAGAGTCAGGCATTTCCTTCGGGAGCGAGTGTTCGAATCACTCAGGTGTCGTTTTGGCGATTTATTGGTCTAACATTTAATTTTTTTCTTCTCATTATCTCTTTCCCCTCTTAACAATCTCGAGTGTGGCCATCTTTTAGGTGATACTCCTTTTATCTGAGGCATCAAATCATGATAAGTGGGATATCCAAATAAAGTGCTTCCGATCTGCACATGGATCAGAACAAACGGACCTGAGTTTGTCAATTGGAAATGAACAGCAGGATGGCATGTCAGCACTAGACACTTTTGTTACGGGTAACTTCCCCGGTGAAATAGTCCATATGTGGAATTCTATTTTCACTTCTATTCCACATGGCCTTGCAAGTTGGCTTTTGAAATCATCATCATCTCTAGAAGAGTGGGATATGTATCAAAGATCTCAAGCAATTCTCAACGAATAGAAGCTCACAGATAAAGACAAGTCATATACTATGCCCGTATAGCTGCTCACCATGTATGTCATAGACGGTGTGGCCATGGCATCCTGCAAACGGTTCTCAACTCATCCTCTTTCGGGCGGGCCTTGCGAAATGATGAGATGCGAGCGTCGACATTTTTCATGAAGACCAAACCCGTAACCTATCTTTTCTCTTATCATTGTTCCGCGGATTAAAACCAACATATTTTCAACACACCCACTTCCCAAATGCTACGCGACTTCATTTGGGACTGTTCGCGCGAGATCTTGTGCATTGGCGCACGGGGCTTTGGGAGTATGATCATCACTTTCTCAAGCCTGGCGCCTAGTTTCCACTCTTCATATTAATTTATGCAGCTCCTTCCGGCTCAGTACAAGGCAGACAATATTTCTTCCTTTCTTTCCTTTCAATGATTTCTACATACTAGGAATTCAAGATCGAGGCTGTCTAGCGACGCAAGACATTTGATTCCCGACCAAGTTTGCACCATTGCATTCATATGGTAAGATTACATTCAAACCCAGTTTACGAAGAAATTTATTGAATACTTCTAATCTTAACTACCTAACGCACGGGAATCTATCAAATAACAAAGATCTAATTTTCGTTTAGAAACTGCAGTCTGTACTGGCAGAAAACCCAGCGTCTTCTCTCCTGTATCTCATCAAGGGGTCGTCCAAAAGGAATGCGTTAAGACTTCGACGTCTTGATCGACATGTTTCCAAGGTGATGTACATGTTCATCGTGGCAAGACAGCTACCAACACAATTTTGCATTCGCCAAATACGCGACTGTGATATGTGGAGTCCAGCAATTCGATCCTGAATTCTGGCCCCCACTCCAGGAAAGAAACCCCAGATCGGTCTAGAATGGATAAAGATGTCTTGTCTTCCAGGGTGAAGTGGTTCAAATGGCAATGTATCCCTACTATTGCATCCTTGTGTCTTGTGGGAGGATCAGCCCTGGAGTCAAGTGACCGGTGATGATTTCACCTCTTTTTCCTAATGGATGCAGCAAAAGCGTTACGGCTAAAGAAATTATTGATGCCATTACTGTAACTCCTAAATCCTTGGATGAGACTATCAGGAGCGTACAAGTCTACAGAAAATCGATTCAACATGACACATACACGTTAATGGAATGATCCATGTGTTCTCGAGTATGAAACTGGATGGATGGTATTTGTTTTTTTCAATTAGAGGCATCTGTTCGATGTGTGGGGTGCCTGAAATCGCATCTACTGCAGTTTCTGCAGTTTGCTAGCTTCTAGTGAAGTAAGATACGTTCATAAATAACACCCGAGAAGCATATTAGCTCTGGGTCATCTACTGGGGTGCCAGATATTCCGGTCTAGTATGGCCACATTAGGCTTCTATATTGTTGACAGAATTTCTGTTTAAGTTTATGCGATTGAAGAGGTAGTCTGTGTGAACAATACTATGAATAGTGATGCTGGGCGCGTCAACGCTTTTTCAAGGATAAGATACAATAGACATGGAGCTAGATGTATAGTGTTGGTCGATTATGTGCATCGCGTGTAGCATGGAGGCGGCTAATGGCTAATGGCTGTTATAGGTTTGGATCGAGTTTGTTTGTGAAGCTGCTCAAGCGAAAATTACGTGCCGCAAGAGAATTACATCGAGAATGTTGTGATTATATCATACTCTTTCATTTGGTTTTATTCTTGCCTGGGTGCAGAAGAATAATTGGTAGCAGTCATTGCTCAGCACTCTGCATACAGATATTCCAATAACTGTCTTTTCTCCCAGAGTTATAGGTTTATTGACGCCGTTATAAGCTGAACAATCGACTCCGTATGGACAGAAGTTGTCGAGGTGGTGCCCAATCACGAGTTTAAATCCTTGTGTAAAGTCACGTGTCGTTTTGATTTGGGGTGTTTTCAATTTGTTATACAATGTACCTATAAAATGCGCGATGATCAAGCAATGCTTCCGTGCTACAATTATATCCAATAACTGCATCTAGTTGAGAGTCTTATGTTACATTTCGACGCATGTAGTAAAATGTAACCACACCTTCCATTTCCGAAGATTTTCGTAGTAGGACAAGTGCGGGGTATTCAATTTGACTTCGCTCTCACCTTTTCAACCCTCAAATACATTCTGCCTATTCAATCGACATAGTTTTCCGAATTCAATTGATCCTGTCAAGCTGTCTGACCGTTTGAAAGCCAATTTTACAATGGAGAGTAGTAAAATGTTGGGGATTTATGCGGTTTGTAAACCCCAGAAAATGCGTGGAATATTCTTGCTCGGACCAACGACATGTGTAGTGGGTTATAGGATGTTGAGGGGTCTCTTAAAGCTCAAGAAAGAGGGTAATCTTGACGACTTCGGACCACACGCTCCATTGTGGTTGTTATTGCTGGCGCTCCATTGGTTTGTCCTCTATCGCCTGTATTTTCATCCTTTAGCGGCATATCCTGGTCCTATGTTGGCTTCCGTTACCGACTGGTACAATGTTCATCATTGTCTCAAGGGCGACCGTCATTTGAATGAATATAGACTCCATCAAATCTATGGTAAGCAATATACCACTTTCAATAATACGGACTGGACTACAATAAGGTTATTGCCTGAATAATTTTGAGATCCTGAAAACTCGCATCTAGTCCCACACTACTGGACAACCTGAAACTAACCATTAAGATAATTTCCAGGACCGATTGTACGAATTGGACCGAATCGACTATCTTTCAATAGCACCACCGCTCTTCAAGATATTTATAGCTCTGTCTCCAACACACAGAAGTCCGACTTTTACACGATATATCACTACTTTTTCAAAGTTCCATCTGTCCTCACCACTATCGACAAGAAGATTCACGCAATAAAGAGGCGTATTCTGGTTAAAGCTCTGAATCCACAATCGGTGCAAGAGCTACAGAATCTTATCTATCAAAACACTCAACGCTTCTCCGAATATCTTCGAGAAGGCAAAGATGGGAAGGTGTCAGTGGGCGAGTGGACACACGCTCACGATATTTCAAAAGCTTTGACATATCTACAAGCAGATATAATGGGCGACGTAACATTCAGTCGTAATTGGGGTATGTTAAACGATGAGGAAAATCGGCATATGGTTGGTCTCATGTCTAGTTCGGCTCTTGCTATGAACACGGTAAAATTACGCTATAGCTACCGAAATCAGACAAATACTGATAATTTGGCGAACAATAGCTAGGGCATATGCGTACAATTGAAAAACTCGGCCTATTCAAATTTATCCCACCATCTTTCATGCATGGTGCTAAGAAGTTTTTTGCTCTCAGCAAATCTCAGACAGATTGGCGGATAAAGCACAGAGATGATCTAGCTAACAAAGATATTTTCTCTGCCATTCTAGCTACACAGGATCAGAAAGATGGTCAGAACTATACTCAAGATCAATTGATCTCTGAAGCCGGTGTCTTGATAATAGCCGGCATGGATACCACTGCATCAGGGCTAACGGCAACCATCTTTTATCTTCTTCACTACCCACTCGTCTATGAACATTTAAAAAGGGAAATTAGAGAGAGATGGGATAAGGTCAGTGAAATCAAAGTTGGGGGAAAGTTGAATGACTACAAGTTTCTTACGGCGTGTATTGACGAGGCCATGCGACTTTCACCCGGTGTTGGGGCCAATATACCAAGGGAGGTAATGAAAGGTGGAGCTGTCATCGATGGTTGCGCCATTACAGCTGGAGTTACAGTTGGGGTCTCCGCCTACAGTATTCATCACGAGGAAAGGTACTTCGAAGATCCGTTCGTTTATAGGCCAGAGCGTTGGCTTGATGGAGAGGATGAGAACGAGTCATCGAAAGGAATTGCCCGAGAGTCCAAAGTCTTTGAACCAAAAGCATTCACCCCATTTGGCACTGGTAGAACAAGCTGCATAGGTAAATATCTAGCCTATCAGGAGATGAGAGTAGTTCTAGCACGATTGATCTGGGAATTTGATATGAGATTGAGTGATCAGGAGGGAGTAGGACTTGGGGAGGGTAAGAAGGGGATGGGCTGGGGCAGGGAGAGTAAGCAAGAGTTCCAGACTTGGGACAGATTTGTGAGCTGGCATGAAGGTCCAATGGTGGAGTTTAGATTAAGAAGCTTGGATGAGAGTAATGGGGATGGTTTGTAAAGTGTTAGACCCATCGGGTAGTCTTGATTGAGAATGGTGTAATCATGTCAATTGTTGGGACGGCAGAGTACTAGGGAAGCGGCCGAGTGATTGATTGTCTCTTTTTTTCGCGGTTGATTCGTATATGCAGGTCAAACCTTCAGAGTAGATCAAAGTTAAACTTCTCGTTAGGTTTTACTAGATCGAAATTCTACAACATAGCACGAAAACATCTTCAGCTTGCTGCTGACATCACTATCTAGATTTGTTAATGTGCTGGCCAATCCCAATACTCTGCGAGCAGAATATATAGTTTATATGATTCTAGACTTTGGACATGGGCCTGAGGAGAAATTCTTGGATACCCATATTTATTCGAATGAAGATCTGTTGTCGGGTCGGGGATTATTGTACCCATGTGGTATAGTTGATAAATTGATGATCGTCCACGTGACAAACTCTTAGAGAGTCGCTCTTTCTTCATTTTATCTTGTACGTCAAACCATCAACTTTGAAGAAATGTTCCTAAAAGAGCACATTGGATGATGATCAACAGTACAGTATGTAAGAAGCCTCTGTTTTGTTCTGATCACGGGACTCGCCGTATATGGATGTCAAAGCGGCACCTGAATTGATCAACACGCGCATCAAACTTTAACACTTTCCATGCTAGAAAAACCGCAACTTTCCGAAAAGCCAGACGGATATTCAATAACTCTTAAGCCGAATCACAGCTTTCTTATCATCTGTCATATCGTACTAGATCGAGTAAAGGGGCAATTTCGTCTGAGGTCTCGAATGATGGATTGGTCCCATTTTGAAATTTGGGGAGATAAATTATATGGCAATTTTGGTCATTTTGGAGTACACAGCATAGCTCACGTATGACAAGCCCTACCACTTGTCGTACGTATACTACATAATTTCTAAAGGTCGTCTGGATACTTCGTATGTTCGATTGTCTTTCCTGTTTTGAAGACGTAGTACGATCGACTGAAATGATGGAGGCGGTAGCTTGTCGTTTCTATTCTACAAGTAGGAATAGTGTACTGGATCTACGCTATAAGCAGGCTGTCCAGGCCAAGTTTTGTCCCCCTCATGTGAAGACTCGGAGTGGCGAACGATATTTCCTAATTTAAAATACATATCAAAACTGTCAGATTGCCGCTGTCAGCTCCTGGGAAGTGTCCCAGCTCCGAGCCCCGGCACACAATATATTGATGATTGTGTGCTTTTGGAAATTCTGTGGCATCGAATTAATTGTTCTCCATGACAAAGAGGAGAAATTTCGGGCTTTGATGCGAGCAAGAACGAAACCGGATATGAAGACACTCCATGCCACAATACTCGATATTTCGAGTAAAATATTGGGAAGTTTGACCAATGACAAGACTTGCGGACACACGAACAACTGAAGACAGCATTTCTCTGGAAATAATGATAGGAACTCTCGTGAGATATTTCTTCGGCAAGAACACCGGTCTTGAGGAAACATTGAGGAACTTTGTGTTGACTTCTGTCACCTTGAAGATCCAATTTCCGACATAATTGATATGTGGTATCAGTTAATAATATCCCCTGCAGCTGTGTGCTCTGATTTGCTTTCCTGAAGAACAAATGGTTAATCGGCCACTCTCCCTGGTGACTCAAAAGCTGGGTTGAGCTCCGAGTTTCTCCCCCGACTTTGACTTATCGTATCAAAGGCATATCTCTATGTGTTCTCCAAGCATGCTTAAGCTTGACTGGGAAACAAATCGTACCACGTTTTGATCCACCATATGAACAGAAGTGAGACGATTCGCACATGCCATACTTCCCTTTGTAAAACAAGGATTTTAAAAGGCAGCACAACTCTCTCATGATTATCTCACTATCTTGTTAATCACTAAAGGAAAATGAAAGCCCGCGGTTAACATGGACGGATTGGGTGGCAATCAGATGTTTGATACAATCCGGAGGAATGTGTCCTTGTTAGGACGCGTGGTAGAAGCAAGTTGCTATACCAACATGGATCTCAGCACTTGTATGTTGGGAGTTCTCATACTACCTATGCTCTAGCTCAAAACATCTATTCCAGACTTGCCTCCCACTCTCAACAACCTCAAGGGCTTGGTGTTCACTCACTAAGCTAGACCAAGACAGCTTTTCCAAAACTCCGTAAGAGCTCTACAGTTTGAGCTCTTCTTGTGCGCTGATCTTCAAAATCTGAGGAACCGGGGGCGAAATTTTCAAATATTGCGGGAAAACTTAGTGCGTGTCAAAATACGTACATAATGCCCGACTTCCCACGTTCGCAATATTTTTCTACGTTGTCTCATTGTCTTTCCCACATCAATGAACTGCCATTGGCTTCTAATTTATCAGTTATCGTCTGTTGTTTTGAACTATATGCAAAATGGTGACGGAGAAAGCCCAGGCAAACTCTAGTGGTGTCCCACAGGAAAAGGATTTCTCGCATAATAGCAACCATCACGGAGATATCAGCAATTCACATGAGATGAATGACATGTCAATTGCTTCGGAAGATGCACTAAAAAGAATCAAGACCGCCGGTAGTATCAGTATCATCCCGGAGTTGTTTGAAAAGATATATCTCTCTCCTCAAAACTCCGTGAAAGGTGATCTAAGGAAAACTTTCGGAAACCCTACTCCGGTGTAGGTTCATGCTTTACAGTCTTGAGACCTCTCCACGCTAATTGAGTATGTAGAGCGATAGTCGGTTTTCTGATTACCTTATCACCATTATCGTGCGATCTTATGGGCTGGCGTGGGGCGGCTAACAACGGTGCGGCTGGAATGTACGTGTCTTGATATCTCATTAAATGTGTCTCTATATTTACTAACAAGTCTTTAGTGGCTCCTATTTCTTCTTTGGAGGGCTCCTCATGATTGTCGGCGGTTTTCTCGAATTTGTCCTAGGCAACACTTTCCCTTTTGTTGTATTTATCTCATTCGGTGCTTTCTGGCTTACGTTCGCCTCCACACTTCAACCTTTCTACTACGCATATGGGCTCTACGCTCCTCCGGGCGGCACTCCTGCCGACGGCCTGAGAACAGTTGGATTCAACGCCTCTTTCGGATTCTTTCTTGTTTTCATGGCGGTCTTATGTCTCATATACCTGGTCTGTTCTCTGCGCACAAATGTCGTCTTTGTTATAATATTTTTTACATTAGTTGTTGCTTTTTCACTTTTGACATCTGTGTATTGGCACACGGCAAACGGTATTGGCAATAACGATGCGGCTCAATTGGCGTTGGCAAACAGAATGCAGATTGCGGCCGGTGCGACTCTTTTCGTAACATCACTAGCGGGTTGGTGGATATTTTTTGCCATTATGCTAGCGGCTCTAGACTTCCCGTTCCAAATCCCAGTGGGCGATCTTAGTACTTTGATTAAAGGAGCCAGTGAGCGAGAAAAGTCAAAGGAACAAATGGCGTAGGATTAGTCTCGATACCATGTCTACACACATCAATGAGACCTGCCATGCAACGATATCAACAATATCTGATGACAACATTGGAGAGGATAATGGCTATATGGAGTTTTGTGGCTTTCTGTTAACTGATTTCGATACCAGGATTACGCTCTTGGAATATTCATGATCCAAGTTTGGTTGTTTTCTATTGATATGCAATGTAAAGTTTATATATAAAGCTAAGAACTAGGCAGTGTATACTTATTTCTTTTTGTTTTTCTTTCCTTTTTTTTCTCTAAGTTCTGTATGTTATCCAGCAGTTTATGAATACTTACACGAGTCAATGTAGCACGTAAGCAATACAATCACAAGACGTGTTCTCTAAATGCGTATAACCATTCGATGTGCATGAAAATCCACGTAGTTTTCCTCCTAACGAAATGAAAGATGCGACATGAACACATCTCAATTATATCCCCCATGTCAAGTGTAAGCTCAGCGGCATTTGACAATACCAATACAGATTTCCGATGCACGACTTCGCTTACGCATCGAACAACCAAATCTCTCTTCTTTCTTCACTCTTATCTAATTCCAAACCACAAGAATCGGAAATTTCAAACAAGTGGCTCCGTGAAAATTCTCCTATCGGCGCGATTTTGGTGTAAGGTATCCGTACCTGTGTACGCTTGAGACACGTGATATTACAGTCGTAGCTAGGTTTCAGTTCTGGGAAATTATGTGCGAGGGGGTGGCTCATGGGACTTTGAGGATGCGGATATTTTGTGATGGGTTTGGAGGGGTTATTGTGCGTTTGCTGTAGCTTCTGTTGGAGTGATTGTTGGTGTAGAAGGGTGGGTCTAGTATGGGTACTACTGTGCGAGTTATTCTTTTTTGACATGGTGAAATGAGCATTTTCTCCCGGCTTATCGTGTCCGTCGCAAGCTGAGAGAATATATGATGATGTTCGTTTATTCATTAACTAGGCTAGAAAAGGATTTGAAAAGATAGTAAAGAACTTTTTCTCTAGTCACGTATCATATCACATCACGTCTTCTAATAAAGATTTTGGAGACCAGTTCCGCAATTCATGAGTTGTTTTTTTAATTAATTGTTTTCTAAAGTCTCGCATGTGCCATTCCATGATACCAAGAGACAGGTATCAGTATTCGTTATAAACTAGAAATCTTCCCCTCTCCCATTTCGCTGCAAAACCCGCCCAACCCAGCTACATTCTTTTCCCCTGTCGAATAATCGACAGAATCAGTCCACCAGGATGCTTTAATCCACCCCCTAACATGCAAAGTCACAGACCCAGCTATTTTCGCCTTGCCCGCAAGAATTCTCCCCACCTTCTTCATTCTTGCCATATGTGAAGAGAGGTGTGAAAAAAACGGCAGTCTCCCCAGTGAGAGTTATGGTTTCGGATAAAGAAGATTTGATTTCGATTGGGCCTTTTGCTTCGGCTTGGGTCATTTTTGATTCAATGACGTTACAATCTTTTCCATAGAGTGCGAGATCTTTGGGCATTGCCATAGTGCCGGATTTGAGGCCGGGTGAGCCTTCCGACCATCTCATGAATAAGGTACAATTGTTGTGACCGAGGCAGTTATCGTTTCCTTTAATGCCATTGATAATAGATATAAAGATGGTAAGGATGGCGAAAAAGGTCGTGGTGAAGAGTTGCATGGTTGTCGTGTTAAGAATGAGGTTTTGAGGGAAGTAATCTAAGTAGGTAATTAACAATAACTCTATCTTCTTAATTGTAGGTCTTACTTACCGAAGTCTTTGTCTATTGTTCAATGATATGTGCAGTAATAATCGAAACTCAGCTTGTATAATTGTTGAAGATTCGAGATGTATCAGTTTTGTGGTTGTAAGATTTTGAAATGGTCGAGTTGGATATCAATCAGCTTTTGTTCGCGAGGTGGATCAAGTATGACTAGATGACTACAACGATTGTGATGAATCTCCTTGTTCAAAATAAAGTGATTCGTCGAAGAGTGATTTCGAATAATTTACAAGAGATGATCCCTTGTTCTGACTCGATGACAGCTCCATCGGCACCGCTCCAGAGTCGAGGATCTAAACTCGCTCTATCGAATCGTAAAGGAACAGGACATTATCATCATTTGGTGTTGATTTATAATCTTTTTCTTATAAAATATCTCACATCTGATCTGAGACGGAATATCTCAAAGATACTGTGCAACAGTTCTCAATTCATCGCCAATCGATGTTGATATGGAGAATCTAAAGCCTGGTATGAATATCTCTAGTCAGCACTGATGACTGCATTTAGTTATGATGAGTAACTACTATACTACCAGTGACTCATCATAAGTATCATGCAATGAAACTTACACTCAAAGACCCTTGCCAATGATCGTTCGGTTAGAAAAATGCATCGATAACAAAAAGGGTTTCGATTCCCCAGCTTGGCCATTTCAAAACGCAGAACAAACACAAAACATCTCATACATTTCAACATCTTGAATAACATCACAACCAACTTTCGAAACATCTTCAAAGAAACAAGGCTTGGTAAGTAAAGCCTGTTAAACGATAAAGTGTGGTTACTGAAGACGTACACAGACCCAAGAATCAATAAAAGTCCACATCAAATAACAAAATCATGCGTTTCCTCGCGACTGCACTTCTTACCGTCTCCCTTCTCACCTCTCTAGTAGCAAGCGGAACCCTTCAACAGCTTGAGCCACGAGCTAAAGCTGCTGACTGCACGGCTCCAGTGAACTGCTGGAGCTTATACATGCGCTGGGATATGGACCCTAAAGCCGATCGGAAAGATTTTGCGTTGGTTCTTCCGAGAAAGCCCAAAGACCTCGAAATTGTCGACAAGGACTGCAATATTGTCAAGACTTCTATAGAACAATCCGATCCCAAAGGACCAATTACCGTTAAGATGGAGGGAAAAAATCCCGGCGATTTGATCATCACTCACGCTACTGGCTATGGTAAGCCCATTTTTACATATAATAATGGTGACTATGGTGGAGATGATTGCGGGTGGAATACGGGACTCGATTGGGCTTCATACAACTGTCTATTTCTCTTCGACGACTGACCGATCGTAAAATGGAGTTTCCTTGGTGTTCCAACCTTTCCGGGAGATACTGAGAGAGCTGGACATGGCCGGGAGTAATATGGAATTGTTGTAGATATGCTGGGCATTTTATCTGCTGGACAGATAGAATAACAAATACGTGACTTTTAAAAACATCAAATATCTCGATTCACAGATAGTGACTGTCTCCCATGTAGTGACTGTTCATTGCTCAAATGGAGCGATTTAGATGGATGAGCATGAATGAAAAATGACTCCCATCTATAAACAGTCGAGTCATTTAGTGGATCATGACTGTGGTGAGGTTTCAATGACAGTCATATTGATGACTCGAGCCCGTTAATACACTATGCATGACACTTAGCTTGACCATTTCGATATAGGGCTGAGCTCACCATCCTCGAGACCTTTCTTCGAAAAACATCAATATTATTGTACGACAAAACTTTTCAACAGATCACGGAAATTTATGTGTCGTAGCGTATGAGATCACAACACAAATACACCCAGATTCACATCATCATGCATTTCCCCATCATCAAACTTTTCGCCATCTTCTCCTTCTTTTGCCAAGCCAAGGGCGTACGACCTCCAGATATAAGTCCCCTCTGCAACAGTAACGGGTGTACCTGCAGCCTAGCAATGATGTGGCAAAACACCTCTAAAGGACTCCCATATCCTCCGGCCCGCACCAGGGTATTCAACAAAAATTGCACCTTCATTTCAAAACCCAACATCACACAACACAACATGGGTAAATATCCCATCAATCTCACATCACCAAAGCTACTTTCCAATTTCTCGATATACGGAGAGGATGCAAACAAGCACTCGGAGTTTACATATGGAGCGAATACTGAGGGTGGTGAGCATTGCGGTTTTCAAACTATGAAATACGACGGAGTTTATTACAATGTATATAGTTGTACCTTTGCGTGCGAGGGACCAAAAGCGAAATGGTGGGTGGCTCCATCTGGTGCAAACCGCACTGAGTTTACATGATTGGAGTGACAGCAGGAGGAAACATTAGGTATATGTGAATAGTTTGGTGATGGATGCGGTGGACGTATCAGAGATTAGAATTGCTTGGAAACACAAGAATTGCAAATATAGCAATGAATTGTAATCTAACAATATGTTTTTCCCGTCGAGTATGAAAATTAAAGCTACGAAGTCGAAGTCTATGAGTGAAATCATACTAAAGCAAAAACAATTTTGAAATTACTCAAGACGACTCATAGAATTATACACGAACAGTCATAAACGCCTCCTATGACTGGTAGTCACTGACATGACTCAAGCTTCTTGCAATACTTGTGTGCACGATTCACTTCAATCAAATGAATCACTACTAAGGATAATCACCAGAAATTGACAATATCATTGCATCACCTCATCATAAATATCTTGGATATTTCCTTCCATGAACCGCTTTGCAAAGCAATCTTTTCAAAACTCAAAAATAAACTGAAATCGCACGACAAAACTTTCACAAGCAAATCCATACCATACTCTCCGACACTGATTATCAATAAAAAGTTGAAACCAACAAATATGAAGTACCTCGCTGCCGCATTTATCGTAGCCATTTCAGCATTGGTCTCTTATGCCGACCCACTTCCTGATCTTCTGAGAATAGTCGGTTCTCACCCCGGTTACAAGCCAGCACCAACAAGTACACCGATACCACAACTCTGCGCCCAAAAACAACTAGCTTTCGGTGACAAGACCTGCACTTACGTCTATCAATTTAGCAGTGACGATAACGGTGACAATGCTAGTGCCAGATCCTTCATCATCGACACCAACTGTGTTATACTACAAACGGGCGATGCTCCAATCCAAGCGTCCACTTCAACTTGGAGTTATCAGTTTAGAACATGCAATATTGTCAAACTGAACGAAGTCATTAAGCAAAAGTGGGAACCTACGAATACAGAGTATCTCATGCCTCTCTATCAGAGTGATGGGCAGATGTCAAGAGACGGTCAACGTGGTCCATCAGAGAACGGCCATGGCGATAAGAGAGAGGCATGTACCTTGAAATATAACGATCTCCCCGATAAGGGAGCACGGTACGCATGGATTTGTCCATTTGAATGCCCCTGTTGAAGCTGAACGGGGATGGATTAAGGGTAGATCGCTTGAAGTTATTGGGAGAACATGTTTGTAAGATCTAGGGCTTGTGCAAAGCATGCAAGAGATATAATTGAAATTCAAATCGTTGCTTTAAAACTTTGTGCCATCCGTGCTAGCTTACCTGGATTCTTGAAAATAGAATACACAAAGAATTTTTTTGGGTAGGATTGAGCATACTTGATTGTTCTACCTTGTAGTTTTCATTTCTTTGATCTGTGTGACAGCCCTTGGGGCATTCCTGATTTCCTTTTGTAATGACTGGGCTAGAAATAGTTGTCGAGATTTATTCATCCACCACTTTCTTTATGAAGGAAGTCTTTGTGTAGTAAGAACAACGGTAAAGAGTTTTCATATAAGAATCAGCATGGTCCGCGTGTATAAGTTTGGATTTCTTTCTTCATACAAAACAAAAGAACAACTCTCAAACAATCAAATAAAAAACGAAAGAAGAAAATCAATCAAACAATAGCTATGAAGCTTTCAACATACCTCCCGATCTTGGCTGGAACACTTGCCGTCGCCCTTCCAATAGAAGCTCTCACGAAGCGCGACAACAAATTTTGTGTTACTCAAGGCCCAGGTACATGTACCTTCGGGTGGCAAGAATATACCAATTTCAATGGAGATTTCTCCTCCGAGGCCAGAATTTACGATCACAAATGCATTCAAAAGGGAGGTCTTATAAGCCCTAATATTGACCAATTTGTGACAGTCACATCAGCCAACCCTCCCATGACCGTTTCGATAAACGGATGGGCTCAGCCTCCACAACTAGTTACTCAAGCAATCCCAAAGTTCAATTTCAAAGGTAAGACCTGGGGTGGAAAAGACGGATGTGCCTGCGGGACAGGAGAAGGACCCAATTTCTGGGGATGTAGATGTGCGTTCGATTGCCCTTAGATTAGCATTGGGTGAAGAAATATATTACATGCAGATGTCACTTGGCTATCTGATATGAAAAAAGTAGAGGAAATATAATTAGAACAAATCTGTTTCGTAAACAAAATAAAACAAAATGAGAATTCTCATCTGTCACAGAAACACTCGTATCACGTGTAAGACATGTAAGCTACTATGATCACAAACTCGTAGTATCAGTCAAGGCAGTCAAATCGTCAGAACTCGGCTATCACATGATAGATATATCGGCAGTGTAACTACCTACCAATTGAAGTTGCCCACCAGTGGCCTGCTGGTACTGCTGACGTAAGTGAGTCTGCCCAATCACAGCCCTTTGATCTCGTGATTTTATCCTCGATTTCTTTTTGTTGCACATCTGAAAAATAATCTTTAGATTTCCCAAAAACCAAAAGGGTTAAAGTCACGTGAAACAAAGACGCGTGCATTGCTACACTAATTTGCTGCACGTACCGACGCGAATTGCATTCTTCACCAGCCACCACTTCATTGAAGCCCAAGACTTTGTTTGGCGCTCAAGTTTTTTCTTGCAGGTAATTCACGTCAGGTATTTCTCATGTCGCCCAACGTATGTTGCTTTCGTGGGGCGGAGTTCATTGGGCACGCTGATAATGTTCTCGTACATACGCGTGAAGATCTCCACAGAGGAAAAGCTAGATGCTATGATGTATTGTGGGGACCGAAAATGTTGTATATCTGTATAGAAGTGTACTTCACGTATTTAGCAGAGATTGTTAAGATACAGCATCCTCATTTGTACGTCGATGGTCGGTTGAGAATAATTGATAGGCTACCAATCATTGTGGAAGATGTTTTCACTTGGCGAAATTATGTACCTGCTTCGAAAGGCAAGTGCCTCTTCACACCCTCTTTCCTTCTTAGGTCATTAAAATATGCAGTGCATAATTATTGAGTGTGCTCCTACACATTACCGTCCATTGATAAACTCCAAGACTCCTGATATTGAGCAGAGGGAAGAGAGAGCTTTTGTCCCCGCACGCTTGAAACCTCTAAATCTTGCGAGCAACCTAAAGGCGCCTCAATAATACCGGTGGGGATCTGTCACTTCATCCATTTTGCAGATGGACCTTTGGATGATAAAATGCTGCTGGCATCTCCGTTTGAGAGCTGGATACGAGAACTGTATGCACTGACATTTCTATTTGCCTCATTTATCAAAAATCCAAGATGAGATCTACGCTCTTGATCTTGGGCTTACTTGCAAAATTTGCGGTGGCCTACGATTGCTCCGTTACTGCTATCGCGGCACTTTTGCCAGTAAAATCCATTGTTTTCTATGCCACCCATTATGATGCCGGTGCAACATTCACTCCTCCACCTGAGTATAACGCAGGTGGTGGTTTGCCAGGCGGTGGTTTGCCAGGCGGTGGGCCAGGCGGTCCACCAGGTGCTCCTCCGGGTGGAGGAGGGTCGATTATTCCCCAAGCTGGTTGTATCGTACAAGGCAATGTTTCTCTCTCCGCAACTTCACAATACAGTTTCGGATTGGCCCTGCCCGATAACTGGAACGGCAGATTCTTGTAAGTCACTTCAACATCCTCCAAGATTATTTGACTGACAATTATTAGGACAGTCGAGAATGGAGGGTTCTCTGGCAGCGTTAGCTGGGGTTCAGTTGTAAGCTTCTTGTGTATATGCACCATTTGAAAATGCTTAACACAACTAGATTGATGAACCAACATCTCCTATAGCTATTATCGAGGATGTTCTGCTGGTGGTAAGCAAGGTCTGAAAGAAGTGGAGATGTTCCCAAATGACTTCGATGGAGTTGTTGCAGGCGCTCCAGCATGGTGGACTACTCATTTACAGCTTTGGAATATGATTGTGGGAATCTGGAATCAGCCTGCAAATTCTTCCCACTATATTCCACCATCAATGTCCACTTACCTTGCGGATGAAGTCATCAGGGAATGTAACGCTCAAGATAGTGTTACTGATGGAATTGTGATGGATCCTATCGCATGCAAGTTCAACGCAACAAAAAATTTGTGCCGTGCAGGTGCTACAGATCCGACGACTTGTCTCAACAGCGATCAAATAGCTACATTCAATAAACTTCATAGTGACTGGGTCGAAGCTGGACAGTTCATATTCCCCTCCTTCACATTAGGCAGTGAATGGGGCTGGAATGGACTTGTTTCTTTCCCAAGTCCACTAGGCACAACATATGTGCAGTACATGCTTGGTCTGGGACCAGATTGGACTTGGGAGGATTGGAATCCAGCGATCATTCTTCTTTCGGATTTACTAAACCCTGGTCACGCAACAGCCGACAATTTCAACCTTGCACCTTTTTACAAGAAAGGTGGAAAGCTACTTCATTACCACGGGCTATCAGATGCTTCCATTGCTAATGGCTCAAGTATCTATTTCTACAATCAAGTTGCCAAAGCTCTGAAACCTCAGGGCATTAAGCTAGATGATTTGTACAAATTCTATTTGATCCCAGGAATAGGGTAAGCTTGTTTTCTGATTTACCCTACGACCTTGTACTCTACTTACGAATTTATAGTCACTGCGCAATGACCTAACCCTAAAATGAATGCTCCGTGGGTTATTGGTGGCGATGGACAAGCTGGTGGTCTTACTAGAACATCTCACGGTGTCCCTGGCTTTCAAGACGCTAAACACGATGTCTTGCTCGCTGTAATGGCATGGGCAGAAAATGGTACCGTGCCGACTGACATCATCGCCACAAAATACGCGAATGATACAAATCCTGATGGCGATGTATTGCGACAGAGGCCTCTATGTGCTTATCCAAGTAAGGCTGTATATAATGGCACAGGTGATGTGAATGTGCCAGAAAACTGGAGTTGTAAGGCTGCATGACCTAGTGGATAGTACTTTCCTTGAGATGATTGACTTTGGGTATTTTTTCTTTTACTGTGCTTTCCAAACTTGTCCATCGCAAGTTCGCAACTCGTGTACCGATGCGGAAAGAAATACTGACGATAATCGTTTCTTCACCCGATTTTTGGTCTTACCCATTGTTTTTGTTTTCTTTCATTTGGAGTATTCTTATGCATAATTCAAATACAGACTTATCATACATTTCACATCAATCTATTCTTAGTTCTATAGTCAAACATTGCTACCATGCCTTATTGTCCGCTAAACGTTTCGGAACTCCCACTCAAAACTTTAGAGCCATCGCCTCGTGTTGTTGACGTCGAGAAGTATATGGAAAATCGACCAGACGTATATTTAGCTCGAAAGACTATGGCGCCACTCGATGCGGTGGTTACTTTTCTTTGGTTAAAAGACCCTCGATATTTGCAACAATTCCTCAATCGCCGATGCCCATCGTTCATATGCCAAATTAAGAGGAAAGATCCCGATGACGGGAGACCCGCGTGGGAAATAACGATCATGCGAAAAAAGATGTCGGAGTCCTTGCACACAATAGAGGTAAGTCAGACGAAGCAACTTCATCGAGACATTATTTATTTTAATAATTTGTGTGTCTAGTTAAAACTCTTCATATCCGCCAGGGCCGAGAATGAAAAGTCGATAAACATCAAGCTATACTACATCACAGACGGACACATCCTACGATTCGAATATCACGATCAGAACTCATCCGATATATGGAAAGCTCCCGTCATGTATGCTACTAAGAAGACCTCCGCAGCTACTCTAGCAAACCTGAGCCAATTGGAAAAAGCGCTGTCAATTTTCTCGATGTTTCTTATAGAAATAGAGTGTAACGCGTTAGTCGGCCCCAAAATAGGTCCAGAAGATAAAGTCACGAAGTACTATTTTGTTTTCGATGGGAAGTGGAAGAAACCCGAGGACTTGATCATTTGTCCACGATTACGTAGTAGATACCTTCCCCTGATAGAGTATTATGAATTGGAATACAAGAGAAGTATAGAGATGACGAAGAAATGTCTTAGAATCTTCGATATACGAATGCTACCTCTATGGCGTCGTTGTATTTGTCAAGCGCCGGCTACTAAAGTTGCCATAGATTTGATGGAGACCGACAATACGAAACTGAAGATGAAAAACTTCCGCGAGGGTCAGAGTATTTGGAGGTTATTGCCGGGACAAGATTTGGGGGATTTGTCGTTGTGATTGCTTGTCTGCTTTTGATTGCGAATAAATGGGGGGCAGGACGTGCTGTCGGGCCCGCCATTTGTCTCCATTGTGCATGATTTTCTATACTCTTCTGGATACAGACTCCATAAACTTGGCATGTCCAATTTTTGAGTTACGATCAGTCCTTCGAGATATCGTCAGCGGGATGAATAATAGTATTTCTGTTTATGCTCCTCTCCAAATTGGTGAGGTTTTATTACATACAAAAAAGAGCAGATACAGCAAATAAAGTTGGGACGATTATTGGGACTCGTGAATGTTGTTTAAATAAGTGTTTGGCATTTCAGTGCTCTTCAATCATCACACCAGCTCTACCCTTCCACCGCGGCATAAGCACCATCTCCTCTACCAAACGTTACCCTGAGATGCCTGATCAGTACTTTCAGGTGCTCATGAGCACAAAATTTTATCAACATATGTTAGCACATCTAAATATATCGTAAATAGCCCAGAAGGCCTGAACTCACGCCTCTGTAATCATTGACACTCTCAACCCGCTATTTCATTCTCATGATCGGCAACATTCAATCATTGTGAAGTCATAATCTTTCGAAAACAATCCACTCGAATCTTTTGATCTTGAGAATAAGACTCCCAAGTTACATATAAAGTGTGTAGATGAAAATCGGAAGTTTACTAGGTCGGAATAGAAGTGATCCAGCCATGAAGAGGGAACGCAATTCGGTATGTATTTACCAAGAACTAGTCACTAGTTGTGGTCTGATTTAAAGCAAGTGATATCTTGATTCGGGATGTATTGGTTTCCGGGGAGTCAGCCCATTAGTGGGAATGATCTCGAGCAACTGGAGGACGTCTTTCGACTTGAAGTGAAATGGGGTAGTTAGGTTGAAGTTTGTCTATACTGCATCCGTTCTGAGTCTTTTCTTTATCTATCTCTAATCCAAACACGGATCGTGCCCCAAATCTCATCATCATTTCAAATCCTATGAATATCGCTTTTTCGATGCCTGTAACGGAATTGAATACTAAACCATTATTCTTCGTACCTAACTTGAGCATTGAGTTGTCTTTATTGGAGATACTCTTGAAAAGCCAACTCCAAGGTGTCAGAAAAGTTGAGCACCCGAACGATGATTCTTCCTTTTCCAAGTGAGTATTTCACAACTAGTTCTACCAGCCATGCGTCAGCTCTCTGCACTTCCTCAAGGATCATCAGTGAACATCCAGACAACCTCGGATTCAAGGCCCCTGTGTCAACATGCGAGTGAGATGTTTGGAGTCATGTTTTCGAATCATTGCTAGATCATGATTGCATCCGAGTTTTGCGTCAAAATGGTCACAGCTATTGTTTCGGGAACACTCATATGGTAATGCCGACAATTTTAAGACATTCATGGATGCTGGGAAAGTTTTACTCAAGCGTTTGGAAGTCAACAGACCTTCACTTGACCATCTCCCTTCCTGTCAACATCAAACTTTACTGTCAATCTTAACAGAACATGTCATCAAAACCAAATCAACGAAGAAAAAAACCAGTCTTGAAACATTCACTTCTTAATCGTGAGAAAAAGATTGACGATCGATATGAGCCTATACAAACCAAAGGGTTCCAAGATGTTGACGCTTACAACGCTTTCGCAGAACGTCGATATCAACAGTACAAAAGAACAGGTGGAAATGCAAGCAGGGGAGAGTTTGAACGCAGTAGAAAACAAAGCTCTCTTTCTAAACCACCAGTTCCTCTATTTGCGCAATCTCGCCCTCATGAGCCAAAGATAAATAAGCAAGCTTCAACTCATGGGTCATCGATGAATTCGCCAGCCCGAGCACGGATCTCACAGAAGACTTTTATCACACGCAGTATGTACCTCCTATTTCTCTCATTTGTTCGTACTGATATCAACTAGTAGCCCCCCGTCCCGCTTTTACTCAGCCCGGATCATCCCACTCTGGTTCCCAAGAAAATACCTGGGGAAAAGCGGAGAATGACTTGTTGATTTCGCAAATTGGTTCGTGGGATGACAATGGAGAGCCCTGGAAACTTTCAGAGGAAGAAGATTATAACTAAATTGAAGGCGCTGAAAGATTAGATGGTCATGATAAATGGCAAAGAGAGAAAGAGAAAAACGGCTCGAGTGTCAAACCGAGCACGAGAGATGTAGAATGGAGTTACCCCTCAAAAGGATAGGAAGAGACTAGGAATGGAAGATAATCAAAAGCTCTTAAATGAGAGGAAGCTCAGCCAAATGAAGGAAATGAGGGTATGGCTTCCAGGCTACAGTAAGCGCGTCTATTTACTCAGTCTTTGGTCGATACACGGTGGGCTTGGTAGATTCCACAACTAGTCAAATAAAACGTGTGACTTTATAAGATAATGTGTCATCATATGGATAATCGTGAATGCCATATCTACAAATAATACTCATATGATAATACCAAGAATTCTAATCCAGTCATAGATGCTGGGAAAGTTTTACTTAAGCATTCCGAATCCCCCAGCTCTTGCATTTTATTCTTCTTCCTTTTATTATCAACATCCACAAATCAATACCACAACTCTCTTTTCAAGAACATCAAAACAATATGCCAAACCAAGATAGCCAAAGCAATAATAACGCCGCAGATGGCGAACAGTTACCTCCCATTCGTCTTGCAGGTGAATCGATGGAACAATCCTTTGACAGAGTTGCAAGGGAAGCTCAGAGATCGAGGGTAGCTCCTGATAGCCTTCTTGCACATTCAATACCTCGCGTATGGGGAAATTCAGCGGAGCGCGTGCATATGCACGGTAATCCTCAAGCAAATAATAACGCAAGTTGCTATGTAGTTACCGCAAATCCACAATATAGAAGTGGAACAAGTAGTATTTCACTCACATTTCTCTCATGGAACATTACTGATATCCAGCTAGGTAGTGGTCAACATTCCTCTCCCGCTCGATAAGCATCTCATGGCTCTGGCGTGGTGACATCCAATGGTAATGCATCACGCCAGTCAAACCCAGGAGCTCAACGTGATGATTGCGGTTGGGGTACCGCCAGTCCGCATGCTCAGAATACGCGAACAAGCGCATGGAATGGTCGCGATCAATCAGGTGGAGCAAATTTCCACAGTGAACGTAGGGGCGACTATCAATAAGGCGAGAGATGGGACGGGTTTTGACGGATATGGAGATTGAGATGGAGGTAAGGAATTGAAGGGCTAAAAATAACGATATGTGATCGTATCTGAGGGATGAGTAATTGGGTCTGGGCACATATTCACCTGTTGATATGTGATGGATTTAGTAGATTCGACAACTAGTTGAGTTGAATGTATGGCTTTTCCAAACGATGTGTCATTGTATGAATAATCCTGAACGCCATGTCTAATAATGACTCCTAAATTGATTTGAGAAGGCCTGAATCTCTCGCTTTAATCCACCATACCGCTAAGTCTCAACGCCAGCAGCCTTCCTCCTACCCTCTTTACTTATTAGAACTCTAGCTTGATTCCCCCCCACCCTGACTTACCTCCCCTGTTTAGCATCATCGCCAAGCTGTCTTCTCCTCAAGCGAACCCCATAGCCCCCACTAACAACACCAAAGTTCCCAGCTCCACAAAGACAACCTTCACCCACTCACCCACTCACCCTCAAAACTCCAAAATACACCAGCTGCCGCCAATCGAGAAACAATTCCGAATTTATATACTGCCCAATTGTCCCGAAAGGCAGCTATCAGTTCGTAGAGAATGATCAAGATGAGGAGAAAAGCTGTTAGTGTTAGCGAGGATTGTTTAAAAGGAATAGATGGCTGGGAGGGAAACTGCGAGTATGATATTGAAACACCCAGAAACGAGGGATAAATGAGGGAATCTTACAAATTAATCGTACAGCCTCGAGGCTGTTGATACTGAATTCCTTCATGGTGTTCGAGGGATCAATCATATCAATAACACGAGTCGCAATTGTGACAGTGGTTATGATGGTTAAGACCCATCCCGGTGGTGGAAGGTTTATTTTGAGAGACGATGGGTGAGTGACCGACAAGAAGGCACTAAGTTTTCTTGGCGGTATTATCAAAGAAAGGAGCGAAAGAAAAATGTTGTGGGTGACAGATGAGATTTATCTATTACCTCGCTGCAAAGGTGCAGAAAAAACTGTTGGATGAGATATCGGGATTGGGGATGTTAGAGTTGGTAAGTGAACACTTCTTTTAGTTGATTTGTGAGATTCCTATACAAATCATATACTTGAACTCATTTATCTTGTTATACTTTGAAATGCATAACCATTTCTTCGGGCATGTAGCCACGGATCCTACGGAAAACGTGGTGTAACTTTACTTACTTAGAATTCCAACTGATAATTATCAATTATTTGAAATTGATACCAAAAACAACACCACCAACTTCAAAATCGAAATTAGAATAAATCAAGCCACTCAAGATCCCCCATTGGCCAATTTCTCCTAGAATATAGTATCCGTAAGTTTCAAGCGAGAACATCGGAGCTGGACATGTGTGCTGAGTGGTAGGGGATGTTGATGGCATGCAGGCACAACATAATCATGATATTGACTGGCTTCGACTTTATCTTAAATCGAATAATCTGATCGGAGCAAGCATGATTCAACACTTGTCTTGAGAGTGCAAAGGAGACATTTGTTTAGTTTTCCATGGAGAGATATACAGTCTTCGGAAGCTCTAACCGCGTCAATGCTAACCACATCAAGTTAGCAATTCACCCTCACCACCTCACGGGATGTGATGATTAATCAACTCTATTTGCATTACATCCAGGAAATTTCGCATTCCTTTCCTCTGATTTGTAGAGACAGGATTGTGTATTCTAATTTCCCAATCACATATACTTGATCAGTCAATCTTCGGGGCAATCATGTATTGTTGTTTGACATAATGATTGAATTTATTGACGTTCAACACTTTCTGGAGTTAAGCTCTTCATGATGTCTATCTGCTCTTCTTTCTTTTCTTTTTCACAATTTCTTTTGTCCTGTGTCTCTCGGTTGATTTCCTTTGTTAAAAGCTTTAAGCCATTTGTTCCTTTGATAGGAAATTGTAAATACTCGATCGTCTACATGAAACACAGGATGAATATACTCAATATCCGGTCCCTTATTAACATACTGGATAGCATTTCTCGGTATCGAACTTGCTCTAAGTCATGTCAAACCGACGTGGTGGGAAATCTTCTCACTCTTCTCGTAGACCTGTAGCTTCTAATAAGGAGCCTGATACGGTACTCAAAGAAAAATATGGCCCTTACCCAGGACAAACAAACGATAGACACAGCGGATTAACGCCGATCGTGCCGCACATTACCACAGGCGGAGTTGGGAAAGTCGATGCGAGTACTTTAAGAAGAGAACAGCAACAGAAGAATGCGTTTTACAACTTTACCGCAAAGCAATTGCTTGATTTGGATGCGAATATAACATCGACAAGATCTTTGAAAGAAAGCGATTTGAACATTCCATTACTACCCTGCTTTAAAAGAGACCGGTGGAAAACAAATGGCAATCCATATACTCTTGGTCGATTAGGACCCGGGAAATGGTTTGCTCAGAACGATGTTGTGTGGGAACTATTACAACCGACTCTTCAACTTGCCTCAATGTTATTAATAAACATTCAGAGTGACTTGGTAAAGTCACTGAAACCCAATTTCGAATTATCTAATAACTAAAATATAGTATGATACTTTCTTGTGTGGCAAACGAATCCCAATCGATCCTGAAAGAATTCCTGAAAATCTACCAGAGCGCGCCACACCACAATTCGTAAAGACTCTTTTTTCTACCAAGCCGAGAGGATTAGTTCCAGATGATCCAGCTCTCCAGAAGAGCAAGAAGATGCTCTTACATGCAATGTCAAGTTTCGTTTTCTTGAAGTTCAAAGACGTTACCGAGACGTTTTCTTTCAATGGCTGTACCAAGTGTGGGTTGCAGAAAATCCCAGATAGTATACCAATTCTTCACTGTCATATCATCTTAAACCACACAAACCTCGAACCTTTACTGCGACCCAATATCACAGCTTCTGAGAAACTGGCATATCAATGGAGAGTGGCCGTCACACTCACTCATGAATGGCAAGTGACACCTCCTCTATAGTATGATCATATATTCTGATACCCCTCTTAAGTTTTCATGCAATGTTCAACATTAGCGAATTCATTCGGGCAAAAAGAGATAAATTTCTGTCAAGTTGGAACCTGGGCTCGGAGGTAAGTCACTGAGACATCTCAAGAATTCCCTCATTACTAAATAGCCAAGCCATATTATGAGAATCACTCGATTCAAGAGTGCGGCTTTTTGATGGAGCAGGTTGCTCTTGGTGGTGTTACTCGTGGGGAGCGGAATCCAAAGGGCTCTTTGTATCCTACAACCGCTCTTTTCTGGACCGAGTGGCCAACGGTATATTGGGCGAGTTATACGTCCAGTTTTACGTTAAAAACACCCGCTCTCAATCCTCGATACAATTTTTACCCGATACCAGTAACTCATTTTGAAGACGTTCACCAGATGAGTTTCTGGCTTCATACTGTCAGAGCATTTGGTACCAAGATGCTTGGCCTTAGATCCAACAAGGTGAGAATGCAGGTTACTCGACTTCCGCATTTTCCTGACGTCTATGTACTAAGTACGGATGATGCCGAAATTAAACACTTTGAGTGGAAAGCTACGCATATGACTCTAAAATCAAAGCAGGATATGAGTCCAGATGAACGAAGAGCTTGCAAAGCTGGGGATGATTTAATTAAAAGGGCAGAATTGAATGAAGTGTTTTTCATCGAAAGCTCAGAACAATCCAATCAATTAAAGGCTATTGTCGATTTTAATAGAAGTCTAAAGGATAGACTTGAAGCTATTACTTCGGGTACTCAGTCTGTTCAAGGGCAGGAAATAAAACAGCAAGATCCGGTGGAGATCATCAAGATATCCATGCAGACTCAATATGATATGCTTATGGGTGCTACAATGGCTCATCGTGCAGCTGTTAACACCTATTTTCAAATGGCAATTTTTGGAGATGTAACCATCGAGATTAAAGATCATTTATTGATGTTCAACCAAGGATTTAGAGGATTCGCCAGACAGATCGCTCACGAATACTGGACGGATGAATTATCTCGAGACTATGAAGACATAGATGAACGGCTAGAATTTGTGCGACAAATGTTATATTCGCCTGCCGACGAAAAAAGTCAAAAGTATGCATTGGAATATGAGGAATTTGGAGATATTGCAATCATTATGAACGCCTACGACCAATTCCACACTGAACCTGAGTATATGGGACAGGTGATTTCTCAAGGAGTGGAAGTCTTAGAAACTCGATGGAGAAGTTCCCGATATGCCAGGACTTGCGCAAATATTATAAAGTTGGCTAAAAGTATAGTAACTGAAGAGACTGAAGACGCATTTGATACGATTAACAAGATCGAAGCTAAGATACAAACACTGATATTTTTGTTGAATGGGGAAGAGAATAAGCGTTGCGATTCGTGGACATCGACACTGGATGATATGATTAAGAAGATGAGAAAGATCTCATCAGACTTGTTTGATAAGATTATGGCCACGGAGGATATTTATATGGATAAATATGATCCTATGGATGTGGATGATGTATCAATGGTTAATGATATGGACGATACTGATGAGATGGATCTCGTTCCCGGTCAGCCCGCTTGATAATATATCATCTACAGTTTCTGTAGATGAGACGCTTTCTAGACTCCAAATATCTCACAAAATATTCGGCAGCTTGATTTCCAGAGAGATGAAAATTAGCTGTGATATCTCAGGATACAAATTTATATCATGCTCAAGGTGCACTCTTAGTAACTCAGATATGAATCAAAGTAGATCGCTACCTCAATCATGTGACGCTAGTTGAGCGCCGATAAATGAACGTCTCCATGATTTTTAGACGACGTTTCAGTAGATTTATTATTAAAATTCTTAAAATCCATAACTATCTCCGAATTCTAACTTGACTTGACTAAAATAGTGACCACTCTTTTGTATTCCTTTGATTCGATAGTAATCAGAATGATGAATCTCGAAGTCGAAACTTGCGTTCTTTCTCCTTCATCATTTTCCAAATGGTTCACAATCTCTGAATCATATGTTCTTCATGGCCTCCGTGACAAGATTTCCAGATGCAGCACTCAACACCAAGGAACATCAGTGTGTTTGCTCAACCCATGGTTCAACCACAAGTTACTCCTGGACGAACCATACGACAATCGAATTAAAACTCAGTATACTTCACAAATTATTACAACTACCTGCAAAAAATCCCAAATCATCATATAACCATATCACTCTAAAAAGTTCACTTTAACGAACATCTAAGATTGATTACATATGACACTTTGACACTTTACCGACCCATCTCGGTAATTTTGCCAAATTGGCTTGGCTTAGAGTGAGCGAGTGGTTTGTGTATTAGTCTTGAAGCTGCGTGATGGTATGGATGCTTGTTTACATGTCTTAGAGTGTGATCTGATGGGGGAGAGGAGAGCTGTTATATGGGATGTGTTGTGGATTAAGGATGGAGAATTGTCTTTTTCTGTGGGTTGCGATGATATATCTATTTATTCATCTATTCAATTATATATATTGTACGTCTATAATGGTTGAGGCATGCGTGTGGATGAGTTGGGTGGTTTAGAAAGTTGGAAATGTAAGGTTCTTGCGAGTTGCTTGTGAGCAGGATGGTACGAGGATGCATGTGCGGGTTTAGATGATTATAAAGCTAGTTAAATATGTTCTGGGAATGCTGGGATGCGGGGATGTATGTTAATATGGTGGATTGAGATAGAATAAAAGCTTCTTTTTTTAGGGGAGATGAGTTGGGGAATATGAGAAAGGGGTGCTTGGAGGGTAAGAGAGTCCATTGGGGGCGTGTGAGATTGTGAGAGCATGGAAAAGCATGGAAGGGATATTGGTAAAAAGGCCAAAATGACATGATGTTTAGAATGGTGAAGAATTCATCGTGGTGAGAGGGGATTGATTGGGAAGCTCATGATGGGGGGATTCCAGACAGGAGATTTTAAATATAAGAAGTTTCCATTGAGGAAGAAGGTACAAGGACAAGACGTGGTACTTTTTGATGGTAAAAGATACCTTCCCGACGAAAAAGTCGCAGTGACAACGAAGTTTGCAAGTTAAATTTCAAAGGAAATACAAATATATCGAGAGAAATAAATGGGAATCCTATCGTAAACAGACAACAAGTTGAATACAAATGAATCCAATCATCACACAGATTATGCCCACAAGAACTCATCCTCGCGGTATCAATATCACCATGGGATATTCTTAATCTTCATAACTAAAAAGCGGCAATCACCAAGTCGAGAAGAAACCCAGCTGAATCGATCGTTTTCCCACACATACATATCAAGATCAAGAAACCCCGATCCAGACCCTCCCCAAAGAACAAAAAAGAAAACAAATGACATCCCCAATCTCCTGATCCCTCTCATATTTCCCCATAAGTCTCAAACCCCACCATCCATCCATCCATCCATCCATCCCAAAAAAAGCAATATGATCAACTTACCCGAGCCGCTGGTACCCTTCTTTCCCATGCAAATGGTGCATGCAACACATCTCCCAAAACCAAGGATAGGATATCGAATCTCTCATATTCTAGAATCGCATCATGTGCATTCCTACACGTTGGGTTATCATATATATCCCCGAGCAAATGAATGTGAGTTGTTAAGCCGTGTCCACATTCCTGGCGTTCCTCACCTGCGCGAAAGTGAGTTTCTTCCTCGTCTGATTCGAAAAATAGCGCTCTCGGTTTTCGCCGTGGAATGTGAGAGAAATATGCTTCGGTTCTGCGTCTAGGTCTCGGTCTGGTGTTTCTGTGAGATGCGATGCCATAACATGCGAAAGTTGGATGGATGGATGGGATGGTAGAGGAGTGGAATGTGTAGGATTCTGGGCAAGGGAGAATGAACTGATGAGATGAGAAAGAAGGTAAAGAACAGAAAAGAAGATGCATACATATATATATCCCTCTTCCTTCGCATCATTTAAACAAGAAGCACATCATTCATATAAATTGGATTAATTCTCAAACAATATTATTACACACTATTCCAAAGTATCCAATTCCTCAACTCCTAAACAAACCAAACCAATATTCAAACTCCAAAAAAGGAAATCAAGAAAAATGCACTTCTCAACCCAAGCACTCTTCACCACCACCTTCCTCAGCACCCTCGTCCTCTCCATCCCCCAAGGACCACCTATGAACGGCGGCGGCGGCGGCGTCCAAGGAAATGTACTTCCCCCCTCTCCTCCCTCCCCCTTCCCCCTCTCCCTCTCCCCTTCCTTCCTACACACCACTAAACCCCCCAGTGCAACTTCTTCTGCTGCGAACGCAACCTCGGCACCGGTGGCACCCTCTGCAAAAACAACACCGCGATCCCGCATCCATATTCCGACGATTGCTCGACGATGCCGATTGGCAACAAGCCGAATGGCGATGGCAAGGCGACGCCCGTCTGCTGTGCGAATCCGAATTGCGCGGGGCAGCCGGGGTGGTGGACGCCGATTACGAATGTTTAGGTGTGGGATTGGGATGGGGATTGGGATGTGGAGGATGGGAGGGGGGGTGAGGGGGGCAGGGATTGAGTTTGAGTTTGAGATTGAGGTTTATATTTATATCGGAGATGGAAAAACGCAACGCCAGATCAAAGAAACAGCAGTAAGGTTGCCGATGTTCTTCTGAAACTCCCTCACGATATCGCATGCAATGAACTGAATACACGAAATATGGGAAGGAACTACGGATTCATCTACTCCTCCTCCGCATCTCTTAGTATGATATCATATCTCCGAGTATACGATCTGGATAAGATGAATACAGCGGTGATGTATCTCACAGGATTGCTTGATCGTTTTTACTTGATTTTATCGTTTGTTTAGTTGTCTTTTTTTCTGTTTTCGATCTGAGAGTTTCGTTGGTGTTATTTTGTCTGACTGGGAAATTTTATTCTTTTGACTTTTTGTAGCGGAATACTTAGTTAGTCGGTTGGTTAGTTTGGGAAATATAGTGTAGTAGGTATAGAGAGTAATACCATTAGTAGACTCATTCATGCTATTTAGGATTACTAGAGGTAAAGGGATGTATGATGTGATGTGATGGATGTGATGTGTGTTTTTGTAAATTACTAAATGAGGATGGCTGGGGTGGAAGTGTCAGGTATAGCATGGAATATGAAAGATGAGATATGAAGGCTTCCTTTCCTTTTGAGGGAAAGATAGATGGATATTGTTTAGGAATTATCAGCCAGAAATATATAGGGAGATTATTATGTCTCTAGACTGATCTTGTAAACATCAGTTTTGGACGAAAAATAATAAAATTTCACAAAACTCGAACCGTTTGTCTCAAAGTACTTCCTTTTGCCAACAATAAGCAAAGAACTGTAAGAGTTCCCGCAAATAAAACCATCCAAACTAGTCACAGAAGCCCACGCAATCAACTACCTCCCTCAAAGTTTCCCCTTTCTCCCATCCTCCGACAACTTCAAAATAAATTTCATATTCTCCTTTTGCACCCTCTCCCACAATCCAGTTTTCCCTCCTGACTCCTTTCTCATTTTTTCATCCTCTCTGCGGAAAAAATCCTCCGCACTTCTCATTCGTCCCGGGTGAATCTCATCCAACAACTTATAATCTCTCTCTAACACTCTATCTCTAAACTGCATCCACCAACCTGTGAAATTTCTCCTAATAGTCATCGTTGCCTTATCCTTCGGGTCCGCATTGAATCCCGCTGGCGTGTCAGCCATTGGTCCAAGTGTCTTAAAATACGTATCGAAATCAGTATCGATGTATTGCGCAGGATGACCGGTGACTTTTTCAAACGCTGTAGCCATCTCAGAATATGAGATATCGGCAATGGCAACTAGGAGATCCATACCATTACTACGCTCTGGATGATCGAATAACCACCGAACATAGGGTCCACAATCTTCCAAAGCCACGTGAGGGATTGCGCCATCTCCTAACGGAACTCTCCATGTTACAACACCATTCTCTACAGTAGGCACCATGACAGTGTTCTCCGAGATGGCCATTTCGATGTATGGACCCGTGGTAAACAATGCGGCTCCCATGCCATTAGGGTTACTTTGATTTTGCCATAAGATCCATTCACCGATTCTTCCTTTCCCATCATAATGGCCAACATGATATTTTTCCTGCCACCCACCTTTTTTCAGGCCATAGTCAAGATTTCCATAGACGAAGAACTTGATTTCCTCCTGAATAGCAATTTCATAAGAACGAATGGCCCAAAACATTTCGGTTTTTTCTCCCGTGTTGAATCCATCAATATTAACAAATGCTCCATCGCAACCTTTATAGCCGGCACGGAGAATCTCTTCATCGGCAAATGTACCTTCAAAGAGTTCTACATTTCCAAGAGCGAGAAGTTGTTGAGCTCGAGTGGATGTGGTGTCGCGGGTCAGAACTCGGACTTGATATTTCTTATCGGCAACGAGAGATTTGATGACAGGAATGCCTTGAGCACCTGTACCGCCGATGATGAAGATTTTGGAAGTTTGATGAGATGACATTGTATTTGAGGATTTAGTTATGTGAAAGGTTTGCTTGAAAGAAGAGGAGAAGAGAAGAGTGTTGATTTTTGAGTGTTGATTTTGAAACATATTCAGTGCCAGTTGTGACTTTATAGATAAATCTAGATACTAATCTAGATACTATTGCTTTGAAATATACCTAGGTAACCATTGATCTGATTGATACTTTCAATGAAGTCAGGAAATGTTTACTCAACATCTCGTCCAACGTGATTACTCATTTTGCATCTGGTTGGTTCAGTAATCATTAATTGAGCTTATTCAAGCACTGAAGGTAAGGTTAATGACGCCAAAAAAAGAATAGTAATCAAATCAAGCATTATCAGAATGATGAGATATCTACTCAGACATAGTCAACTGTGTGATCAGAGCCACAGCATCTCTCTAAAAACCCTCCGTACAATAAAAGATAGATGTCACTAAAACATTCAAAGAATTCTACGGACTCCGAGCCATGTCCATTCCCCATCTTTCACGCATGAGGCCAGAGTAGAGGAATATCAGGAGAATGGCGGGGCGGTTCTGCATATAAAATCTGTATGATAGGAATATAAATGGAATGAAATCTGTATGAAATCTGTATAGAAGAAGATGGATGTATTGACTGTGATAATTGATATTTGATTGAAATCATTCACTCATCTCTAGTGAAATGGAAGAAAAGATGTTGTTCCACTCAAATCTTGCAAATGATCAATCTCTCACCGTAATGACCCTCATTCCCACATCTAATACAATCACGTGATTATACCGTACCTCGCGTCCTCGATTCTCGAGATATTTTAAGACTCAACGAGGTCGAATATCAAATTCATAATCCTCATTCCTCCAAACTCCCAAAAGAATAACACATTGAATTCGAGACCTCTTTCAAGGGATACTACCTACCCACCAGCATACCTGCACTTCTATTCTTTGAAAAATTCTACACGGTATTCAAAATGGCATCTTCAATTGTCGACCGCAAATTGGATCTTCTCTATTTGATCTATTTCTGCTTACATATCCCGGTTTTGTTCTGTAAGTCATGCTTGTTCTTTTCTGTAAAGTAATTTTGAAGGATTGTGCCTTGGAGATATCCTTTAATCTAGTGTTTCTTTTCCATTTCTTCAATTCTGTACTACTATTGAGATATATAAGACTCTTCTCGTCATCTCCCGCTTCCGCTCTTCTATCCTCCTCTCCTCACCCCCCCTCTATCTCTCCTCCCCTCAAGTCCCTCATTCTCAAGCTTACAAACTAATCTTTCCTCTTCCCCTCTAGTAATGGATCTCCAATCTCTCTATCCCGTCTCCCTCACCCCATCATTCTTGACCGCCATCAAAAACTCCCACATCGCCAATTACAACGATTTATTCTTCGTTTCACCACCCATCTATTTTAATCTATTTGTTTGGTTGGAATGTTTGATTCATTTGCCTGTTAGTTTCTGGGCTATTGGAGGATTGTTGAGAGGTATGTTTTTTAATTTCTATTTTGGTGTGTACTTTGCATTGGGTGGGTTGCGATGGATGGGTTTGGTGGGAGGGTAGGAAAAGAGAAGGTTGGGATGCTCAAGACAAACGTTGTACTATGTAGTATGATGTCTATTTACATAAGTGTGTAACAAATGATGTCTATGCGCACTCATAGTAATCAGGTCAATTCTTCTTCTGCTGCTATTTGAAATGTTCAATGTTGGACATTCGAAAGTCTAGTTTCTTCCTCTTATCTCCTATCCTTCACATACATACCAACACATCACACTATCTTCCCTTCCTTTTCTTCCCGCTTTGTCTTTTCCATTCTCCTACGTCTCTTCCCCTCTCTTCTTCCCCGCTTCAAACCCCTCTCACAACATACACTAACCCTCTCCCTCTAGATTCTCCCCGCATCCCTCTAATCCTTCTTCCATATGCCCTCGAAACTTTCCTCACCACCCTCGTCTGCATGCACGAATACGTTTATTGGCCCATTCCACGCTATCAAAAGGTTGATTTGACCAAACTTTATGGTCCTTATATTTTGTTGTGTAAGTATTCTTCTTTTTTCTTCTCTAAATATAGCATGAGGTCCGACCCCCTTCCTCCCTTCAGGAAAGAATAATAGAATAGGAAACTAACCCTACACAGCAATTGTAATGGCCATCGATATGTTCATTCGTCTTTGGCGTATTGTTTCTGCCTTTACCGCCGCAAAGAAAGGAAAGAAGAACATTTAAACGTCTTTTCATCTCGGAGTCTTCAACCATTAATCTTGCAGCCAACCAACCTTTCAGCAATTCAATAAAAGCAACTTCATTTCCCATTTCACGAAAAAAGCGCATGATACCCCAAAGAAAAAGTTTTGAAAGCAGATTGATTATGAAGATCTCGAGTCTAGGATCAACAACCTCAACCAGGTTAAGTTGAATGAGTTTAATTCAGATCAGATTACATAGTATTCTAGAATTTTGAATATAAAAATATACACACATATACAGACGTGCATCAGATCGAACCATATGATTATAAAATATCAATCGTTATCGACAGATTTATTATGAGTTCCACGTGCATGTAAAGTTCATTTTGAGCAATCGAACCCAACCCATTCCATTCTTCCCATTATCCTTCTAAGTCTCAATCCCTATTCAACCTCCTCCCAAATGCTCAAATCGAATTCATTCCCCAGTTTCCCAGTTCCCCGTTAGTGCTATTTACCTATTCACCTCCTCCATGCAATTATTCTAATTTTCAATTTCAACCCCTCGTTTCTCTATACACATGAGCCCTTTAAAACTTTGGTTTTCCTCCCTTCTTAATCCCTTTCTTCTCCCTTCTCCCTTCTGATCTTCAATTACATCTCTACACCACCTCTCCACACAGTCCTCCCCTCCACCAAACCTCCAAACATCTCACTCCAAAATCCATACAATTATACAATTACACATTCACAAAATAACATATCCAACCACCTGTGTAAAAAATTCCCAATATCAAAAATCCCAATATCACCCGTCAATTCACCCAATTCACCCAACCAATCATTAATCCATTCATTCATACATCTTCACCTCAGACACTCGAAATCCCCAAATACTCTAAATATCGGCAAGCCCGTTTCGTCGACCTTCTTTTATTATAGGAAGCTCTTATTTTAGTGTTGTACTCTCTTTCTATTTCTACTTCTAGTCGAGTAGTATCAAAACGGAACTAAAATATGTCTAGGATGTAAAATATATAGCAAAGAATACTATTACTCGTACTTTTGGCCCTGGATTTCTTTTATAACTTTCCTTTTTTGAATTATATTACTATTTCCTTATTTTCTACCTCTTTTCTAGCCTATTAATACTGACATTAACATTGATAATCATAAATTTCGAATTTCAAGATCAATTTTAAATACCAAGTATTAGGATCGATCGTTGATTTGATTTTATGTAATTTATTCCATTCTCATATAATATATTCTTAATTCTTATTATATTATACTGCTTTAGATATTGATTAGTTGATTGGTTAATAGGATATAAGATGTAAGATGTACAATGTGAATATATAGTCTTGCTTTCTTCTTCTCCTTTTTTCTCCTCTATACTTCATTTCTCATACTCCATCTCTCATCCTCATCAACTTCACTATCTCTCACCCATCACTTACCACCTACCACCTACCACTTACCATCTATCATCTATCATACTCACATCCATATCACACTCATATTCCATCCCACCCGCTATCCAGATCATATTCTACTCATACCTAC